AAAAAAAAAAAAAAAAAAAAAAAAAAAAAAAATCAATTAGCTACCAGCAGATACTCATTAATATATCGTTTATTTCTTGATAAAGAACCGGTATTTTCATGGCTCTATGCTATTTAGACTGAGACATGTGATATAAAATTTTGTCTTATATCTCTATGTTTTGCGTAATAATAATAATGCATTTGTCCGATTGAAGTTAGCTCTCCATATCCGTAATGCCTACTAGTACGTGTAACAGCATAGATGGTGTCCTTTATAGTATCGTTCAATGAGGAGACAATACGAGAGCTCTGGCTATGGCGTAGCTGACAGGCTTAATATCTCAGTTTAAATACTAGTGAGGTTACTGGTTTAGTGAAGTACCCCATGTTTCTGGACTTGGTATAGAACTCCAGTTTGGAATTGATAGTATCATGGCGAGAAAGAGAAAAGCGTGCATTGCCGCATTGCATAAGCAATATACGAGTGGTGACTGAGAGATTGACGCATAGCACTCCATATCAGCCATCGTCTTTATCTGTAATCATGAGTGGGGTCTACGATGACAGGTGTGGGTATTCATCCTCCGGAGATCTGATGCTTATTACGTACGGTTGTTGGCAGTTGGCTATTTGACGAGCAGATGTCCAACGGTGCAGAGCTAGCGCTAGATGAATTAATATGGCGGGGAAGATTTCGAAATCAAATCAATGTGCCGATTATTGGGGATAGCCAGGGTTTGCTGTCGCAGTTGTCGCTTTGGGTTAAATATCGCTTGTCGACCTGAAGACACAATTCCATAAGGATTGGCCACCGGACTACCCTCCACCTCGCTCACACTATTCCCCAGAGAAAAGCAATTGTACCGATATGTTGAAATGGTATAGATTGTGGTTTATGAGCATCAGATACACGGGGAGCCATGTTGTCGGCCCAAAAGGCACAGCATGCTTGGCCGGTTTGAATATAAAGTATAAAAAAACCAGGGATATCAAGCTCGTCCGTTGCCTTTAGGGGGGAAAAAGGGCTGACAATAATCATGCTGAAAAAAAGAAGATAAGAGTTCTTTTATTTTAATTCGTAGGGCTGACCGGCCCTGCCTCTCCCACGAACATTATCAACCCGCCAACTCCATCTCAACATTCGGCTCATTCCGTCGACTCCTTGCCCGACCGTCTGCGCGTAGAATCCGGAGTTGCCAACTAACGTAACAAAAGGGGCGTCATTTAGATGTTGGAGGGGTACAGCATAACACGGACGGTAGCACCGAAGGTCTTGGGGGGGAGGTTGTGGCGGAACTGAGCACGGACAACACCGGAGTTACCTGTTCATGAGGGAAGTATTGTTAGTTTTCCGAACTTTCCCGGTTCCAGCAATCACCGATAACAGATAGATATGTATTCCGTGGCAATCGTCGCGCAATGGAGCTGTGCATCACATACCGTGGGGACGGGTAACCTTGCCCCAGATGACCCGGATGTTGGAGCCCCGGACCTCACGCTTGGCCCGGTAGACGAAAGCAACCTTCTTGCCCAGGTAGAAGCTGTAAAAAAATCCCGTCTTAGCTGTGTGTTCTGATATTTCGATCCCGGACCCATTCGCTACTCACTTTGCGGCCTCAGTGCTCTCAACACCGTCGATCTTGATCAGACTAGATAACCCATGTGTCAGATTCCCTTGTTCCTCTATATCGATATCGGTGCGGATCGCAAGTACCTGGTGTTGGGGTTGACGGTACGCTTGGAGCGCTGGTAGCTCACGTGGCGACCCCTGTAGAAAAAATTCGTATTAACCGGTCTGTTCTCGTTGCATTCCATCGCTTGGCCCGTATCTCTGATGTTCCGACATGGATCTTGATATTTTTTTTGATATTCATATCCGGAATGTGCGCGAATTCGACGGCGGACGGTTTGTGGTGAACTTACTTGACATAGACTATAATTCGCAAAAATATTCAGTTAGCATTTCATTCAGCATTTCGCCCAATATGCGCCCGCATATCCCCATCTATCCTTCTCCATCCCCATATTCCAACCATCGCGCACACATATCTGATATCCGGAAAATGATGGCACTCACGTCTGTGACCTTGTTCCGAAGGCATTCTGACGGCGTTTCTCTGAGCAGCAGCGGGCAACGCAAAAAGTCGAAGGAAGGGAGGTATGACCCGCAAAAGTCGTCCGGGTTGTCGTGGTTGTCGTCGCTTCGATAGGGTAACGGGACAACGCACAAGGCTCACAAATTGCGAGGTGTGTTCGGTGCGGCTCGCCCTAACCCCAAACGGGACGCTTAGCGAGCCGGACCACCCCAGGGCAAGCCGAAGTCCCGTGATGGGGAAGAGTTGCAGACCGCCTACGGGACACTAAACCGTCTTGGGAACATCACCGGATAAATAGCTTCTCCATACATCCGAGATAGATCATCATCGATTGCAGACCTTTGGGGCTCCTCCATCCCAACCCACCCCACCTGGCCAATTTTGCCGTCCGGGCTACTGTAGTCCGAAGACTCCTGGCTACCCGCCGGTCCCCTCTGCAGCAGCGGAGAGAGCTTTTGGCTAGAGCGCCCCAAGCTGACAAAACAGCTTGCGGATTCTTTTCCACCCATGACGGCAACTGCCCCATCACCCTTGATCTTGATAAGGGATTGGCCTCCTATCGCCGGGGTGGCGGCCTGTTGCAGGAGCTCCCCGTTTAATGGACAAGGAGTTTATCTTCTGACTTTCGAGTAAGCGTGAAGTAGCTGCATGACAGCATGGCGCTTAAACTACCTCTTACAGGGCAGTGCAGCAGAGTTGTACGGGTGTATGACTGGATGTATATAACGGGGGAGGATGACTCCTCCAGAAGCGATCAGACCGGGATACATATTTGGAAATCAAGCGTCCCCTCCAGCCCCACCAGGAAGTCGGCAACGAACCTGACATGATGTTTCTCTCCTGAAGGGGGACCCCCATAGAGCACGCAATACCATCAATGCCTCTGTTTTCTTTCAAGAAAAGAAAGAGGGGTAAAATATTGATGGGGGTGGTACCAGGGGAAATGGTGACGACAGTAATGTGCCATCGATACGAGGGTTTTGGTGTCGTGGGAATAAGCAACAATAGGCAGTGCATGCTGAGAACAATACTCCGTAGATACTCCAGCCCCCCCCGTTTCGGGATCGCACCCGTTAACTCCGGACTTGACTGGGCCGAAAGTTCGGTTTGATACATGGTCGCTGCGCTTACTTCACGGGAAAATAGAATCCGTATCGTCCTTCCAGATGACAAATTGGCCGATCCAACCCCACGAAGCTGGTCACCGGAGACGCGGATTCAGGAGTCTTTCCACTAGACTGGTGTGATTGTTCTGGCGCGATCGCTGCTATTCATCCTGTGGAATAGTCCGAAATCGCTCCATTATTTTGAGATCTTGTCTGGGTCACACCCTGGAAATCTGCGCAACGGTTCTCTTGCTTCACCTATTGTAGTTGAAAGTGGATTAGTGCTAAGTAGATTGACACTGCATTACTTACGGAGCCAACCTTGGAAGGTGATCTAAATTCTAATAAATGGGTGCTATGACCGGAATGCATGGAACTATCGTTATCACAAAGAAGCCAGGTCCTGAGCTGACTGACCTACCTGCATGAATGGGCTGGGGGCTGCTCCACAATTTGCCAGTAAACTCGAGGTGCGCGTGCCCGGCGCATATACCAATGTAGTACAGCGTCAGACCGCAAGAAACTCGGCACCTTTACATTTGCGGCTTTCCCTTTGTCTACAATTCAAGAGGAATGAAAATGTCAGATCAGAGTCGGAGGGTTAATATTACTGGGATAAGCTGACGCGGGGGGTGGTTCCGCATGCAACAGTAAGGTGTACCTTAAGATGGGCATCATCCGTTCCATGTGTGGTTCTCAGTGGAGCTGGGAGGAGATTTACAGCGGACCTGGCTCGGATAAATCAGTCCGTCTAAAAGAGAAGGGGCTGTTAGTCTAAACGATGATGTTTCTGAGGGACAGATAGAGTAAGTCGAGTGGGGGATGCTTCATCGTAAGTATTGATTTAAAGATATCTAGATATGCAAGTGGTAGATAGTAGAGAAGGGATTTATCGCGTTACCTAGCGATGATATAAGAGACGGATTGCCACAACGACTTCGGGGGAGAGAGAAAGAGAGAGAGAGAGAGTGCAGTATGAGTGGGAACGGAGAACCTGACAATTAGGGGAAAAATGGATGCTAGGGATAAAAAAGGAAGCATTTCCCGGGAGTAATCATACCAAGGAAATACTGAAGGAGTGAATTATCTACTACTCCGTGGCAGGCGAGTAAGTAAGTAGTGTCTGAGTGATGTAAAATAACCCCGAATAATAGAATTGGATAACAACTTACCTATTCACTAATCACTACTAACTCACGGGGTCCCGCGGCAGTAATCGACGTAGTGGAAGAACCCAAGCCGGGCTTCCCAGTAACAAAGTAGTAACAAAGCTGCCCCACCCGGGCTCACTCACTTTTGCCCACCCTGCAGCAGAGCAGCTCCTCTCTCCTCGACGAGAGGCCCTCCTCCGGTCTTAAAAAGTACTTGCTCCGCCGGAACTGTTGGGATTTTTCCAACAAACCTCTCTGTCCTTGCTGTCTCCCTGTATCCTCTTTATTTCCTCTCCTCCCTCTTCCACCGATTCTCTCACATTCCCCTTCCCATCTCGTGGTTGTTCACACATCAATAAAACATGGCCAGCACAATAGCACGTACTGAGGAACGCCAGAATGCTGGGTGAGTTTTGCGGTCTCCCTCTCTGACATCACACCCCTCCTCCCTCCCACTCCCGTCCCTCCTGCCCGCCGCCCAGACGTGAGGATTCACCACCTACTCCTCCCCATAACAAGCCGGTCGCCCAACATTCACTGGCAGGCTTCCCGCTTTCCATTGTTCTTCAATTGGTCCCCAGGATTACTCCTTTGGTCTTGACGAAAGGACTATCCTTCTGACTCACCACCAACCTCACTGCCCCTCCGGGCTGTAGCGGACTGCGGGCACCGACCTACATCATCGATCTACACACGATCCCTGTGGCACTATAATCGTCAATCTATAGCCTAGCTAACATGGACGTTTTACGTAGCACCATGGAGCTCAAAGATGACACTGTCATCATAGTACTGGGTGCCTCCGGAGATCTTGCAAAGAAGAAGACTGTCAGTGATGACCCCCTGATTCATGTCGACCGCAGAGGAAGCTAACTTCTTACAGTTCCCGGCACTTTTCGGCCTTGTATGTCCACTTACAGATCCAATTGCAGTTTGACTCACCCCAGTATGGTTACTGATTGCGCTTCCAGTATCGCAACAAGTTCCTCCCCAAGGGTATCAAGATCGTCGGATATGCCCGGACAAACATGGACCATGAGGAGTACCTGAGGCGTGTGCGCTCATACATCAAGACCCCCACCAAGGAAATCGAAGAGCAGCTGGACAGCTTCTGCCAGCTCTGCACCTACATCTCCGGTCAATACGACAAGGATGACTCGTTCATCAACCTCAACAAGCACCTCGAGGAGATTGAGAAGGGCCAGAAGGAGCAGAACAGAATCTACTACATGGCCCTCCCCCCTAGCGTTTTCACCACCGTTTCCGACCAACTCAAGCGCAACTGCTACCCCAAGAACGGCGTTGCTCGTATCATCGTAAGTCAATCCTGGGCTGATATCACTCTGCAGTTGGCCATTATTCTTACTCGCCTGTTTTCCTATTTCACAGGTAGAGAAGCCTTTCGGCAAGGACCTTCAGAGCTCGCGCGATCTCCAAAAGGCACTGGAGCCTAACTGGAAGGAAGAGGAGATCTTCCGTATCGACCACTACTTGGGTAAGGAGATGGTCAAGAACATCCTTATCATGCGCTTCGGAAACGAATTCTTCAACGCCACCTGGAACCGCCACCACATCGATAACGTTCAGGTACGACCTTGCGCTATCCAGTTGACTTTCTGAATTATGGCTAAATTGTCGCCTTTATGATTAGATCACATTCAAGGAGCCCTTCGGTACTGAGGGACGTGGTGGTTACTTCGATGAGTTCGGCATCATCCGTGATGTCATGCAGAACCGTACGTTCGAACCCTCGCGGGGCATTGTCGACACAATACTGATCAAAATCTTCCTCAGACCTTCTCCAGGTGTTGACGCTGCTCGCTATGGAGCGCCCCATCTCCTTCTCCGCTGAGGACATCCGTGACGAGAAGGTAAAGTGTGCGATTGGCTATCGGTCGAGCGAGGTTACTAATACTTAACCAGGTTCGTGTCCTGCGTGCGATGGACGCCATTGAGCCCAAGAACGTCATCATTGGCCAGTACGGAAAGTCTCTCGATGGCAGCAAGCCCGCCTACAAGGAGGATGAGACCGTTCCCCAGGATTCCCGCTGCCCCACCTTCTGCGCTATGGTCGCCTACATCAAGAACGAGAGGTGGGACGGTGTTCCCTTCATCATGAAGGCTGGCAAGGGTATGTGCCTCTTTCCGAGCGATCTTATCAATGGCGGGTATACTAACTATTCGCAGCCTTGAACGAGCAGAAGACCGAGATCCGCATCCAGTTCCGTGACGTTACCTCCGGAATCTTCAAGGACATCCCCCGTAACGAGCTCGTTATCCGCGTCCAGCCAAACGAGTCCGTGTACATCAAGATGAACTCCAAGCTGCCTGGCCTGTCCATGCAGACGGTTGTGACTGAGCTCGACCTCACCTACCGCCGCCGCTTCTCCGACCTCAAGATCCCCGAGGCCTACGAGTCTCTGATCCTGGATGCGCTGAAGGGCGACCACTCCAACTTCGTCCGTGACGATGAGCTGGATGCCAGCTGGAGGATCTTCACCCCTCTCCTGCACTATCTGGATGACAACAAGGAGATCATCCCCATGGAATACCCCTACGGTACGTGCACAACTTGAAATTTAATTTAAACCGCTTACATGCTGACGAACGGCGTGCGCAGGCTCCCGCGGACCCGCTGTCCTTGATGACTTCACCGCGTCCTTCGGCTACAAGTTCAGTGATGCTGCTGGCTACCAGTGGCCCTTGACTTCCACCCCCAACCGCCTGTAGATAAGGGCGGTCGGCGTGTTACGATGGATGAAGATGAAAAAAAAAAAAAAGAAAGTGCCAAAAAAGGCTAAAAAAAGATGTTAATGCGATTGATTTTCGGTCGAAAATCATGGTATGACGGGGCATCTGGGATGATATGACAGAAATGAAGCACTCGGGACTATTTATCGGTCGGCTGGGCAATGACTGGTGTTATCTATTCGCAACCCCTTTTTAGAAACGAATGCAGAGAACGTAACGAACCACCCCCGGTCGGTTGGGACCGCCGCTGGCTTCACCGGAAGCTGGAAGTAGTCGCGTGACAGTAGCAAGACGGTACCTGTATTATTGACCCTTGCCTGGTGCCTGAGTCCTTGTGTGCCCTGTAGAATTAGGTTCGAAAGGTTAGAAAAGACAGTCAGGCTAACCCATAGACTTCCCCAGTTTCAGATTTGTTTTAATCCCCCGACCTTGCTTTAGGTTGTTCACACCACCCGCTATTAATAAACCCAAGTACCGTCGCGGTGGTGGGTCTCAGCGTGGCCGGTGCCGATAAGACGAGGTACCTGACGGGCCGGGGGCCCGCATGCGTACGCTTTTGGTGGGCTCAGCCCGGCCTCGCCTGTCGTCTGTCTGCCCATCCCTCCTCTTTTCTTCCCATCCCTTCTTCTGTCCGGTCGTGAGTCCCTTCTGCTTCGCGTCGAACGTTATTTGTCGCTCTCCCCGGTCACGAAAACCTACATTTACTCCAGTATCGCCCTTTTCCTAACGACATCAAACCTTTGGCGGATCGCGGACCCTGTTCCATCCTCGCAGCTATTTTTATCCCCAACGAACCGTGCGACGACTGCCTACGACCCATCACGCATTTGCCTCGTCCTTCTGCGTCGGATCTCACAATTTAGCTTCCGTACCGTCCCAGCATCGAATCTACTCCATCCGAGGATCGATTAGCTACACTTGCACGTTGTTTTGGCCTGATCGCAGGCGCAAATTCGAGGCGAACCCCCGCGGTTCATGGAAAGCATACAAGAATTGTGAAAAGGGCCAAGTGCATGCGGGCATTCGAACACTGAGAATGCCACAAGCTGCAAGATGGGTGGGCACACCCTCTATCAAGGGACGAAGGGAGTGGGTGCGCATGGTGCTGTTGACCTTTAGTTTGTTGGGCTTACAGTATGTATTCTTCCCCTCATTCTCATTCCTCCGACAATGTTTTCTTCGGCTCTTCCCAGACGGAAGACAATCACCATTACAAATGCGCATAAAAGACTGACTTGCTTCTTGTCGACAGGTTTACCTGGGGCATTGAAATGACTTGTATGCGCGTTGCTGGCTCTTGTCTACTTGCTCTATCTTTCTAACTTGCGATGCAGATTGCACCCCATACCTGCTCCAACTGGGCCTCACCAAATCCAAGACCTCGCTTGTCTGGATCGCCGGCCCTCTTTCTGGCTTGATCATCCAGCCACTCATCGGTGTCATTGCTGACCGATCTCGATCCAAATGGGGGCGACGCAGGCCTTTCATGATTGTCGGCTCGTTCGTCGTCGCAACGTGCCTGCTTGTTCTTGGTTGGACTACTGAGATCGTCAATACGTTTGTTAAGGATGCGGAAAAGGTACTTGATAGCATGCGAATAGCCTTCTTTACGCCTTTCCATACTCAGAAGCTGACTGAGATCGTCCATTGCCCCAGGCCAGAAACGTCACCATCGCGCTAGCAGTTCTAAGTATTTACGCTGTGGACTTTGCTATCAACGTTGGTAAGTCTGCACCAGCCATGATATTCGTTTATCTCTATCTAACCCAATCACAGTCCAGGCGTGTTGTCGCAGCTTGATTGTCGACACATTGCCTATTCCTTTGCAACAGACTGGATCAGCATGGGGTATGCGTCTTCTGCCTCTGACTACAAAGTATGGTAGCTAACAGTGTATAGCGACTCGGATGACCGCAATTGGCCAGCTCATTGGATATGTAATTGGATCAATTGATACTGTTAGCATATTTGGCGCCATAATCGGCGACACGCAGTTCAAGCAAATGACGGTCATTGCAGCAATGTCATTGGTTGGTGCTGTCTTCGTTACCTCGTACGCAGTCAAGGAGCGAGTTTTGGTCACTGCGAGGTAAGACAAAATACGTAAATAGGTCTACACCATGCAAAATACTGACACACATCAACAGAGACTCTGATGACAAGGCCGGGACGCTGCAGGTCATTTCTCAACTTGTCAAGACCACGATGGATCTGCCACCGCGTATTCAGGCCATCTGCTGGGCGCAATTCTGGGCGTGGATTGGTACTGTGCCATTATACTCTCGAACCAGCTTTTCAGTAGGAATGTACTAACCGAATAATCCGCAGGCTGGTTCCCCTTTCTCTTCTACAGCACCACCTGGGTCGGAGAAACATACTTTCGATATGAAGTCCCCAAAGGCGCAACTCAACCAGCCGATATGCTTGGAGAAGTCGGTCGAGTGGGCAGTTTATCGCTAGTCGTCTTTTCCTCCATGACCTTCATCGGCTCCGTTCTTCTGCCGTTCTGCGTCCAACCACCAGACAGCAAACGACCCAGGTTCACGCCACGCCCACCCCCAGGCCTCGCCTCACTGCTTAAGACAGTAATGGGCATCCGCCCCGATCTCCAAACAACATGGCTGATCTCCCACGTCATGTTCGCCGCGACCATGATCTTCGCTCCTTTTGCCCGCTCCCGCGCCGTCGCAACCTTTCTCGTCGCCCTCTGTGGCATTCCCTGGGCCGTCACCTGCTGGGCTCCTTTCACCTTTATGGGCATAGAAATCAACAAACTCACCATGAACCCCTCGCAATCCTTCCGCTCATCCGGCGTAACAATGATCACCTCCTCTAGCCTTCTCTCCGGCGGGCCCACCACCTACAGTGACCGCACTAACGACACAGAAATGGACGTCCTCCGCCTCAACCACCACGACCCAGACAGCGACAGCGACATCGAAGACGGCGTCTCCAACACCCCATCCACCGGCGAACTCGCCGGTATCTACCTAGGCGTACTAAATGTCTACACAACCCTCCCACAATTCCTCGGTACCTTCATCAGCTGGATCGTCTTCAGTGTTCTCGAGCCCGGCAGCACGAAACGCGACGACACAGCCCAGGACTCCCAATGGATGAATCTAGATAAGAGCACCCCGAACGCTATCTCCATCTGCTTATTCATCGGCGCATTGAGTGCTATTGTCGCTGTTGAAGCAACGCGACGCATGCGATACACTATATAGAGTGATCGTTTTGTTCTTCCGTAGTTGCCTTCTTTTTGGCATGACTAGAGGGATAGATTTTGCACCTTCATCTACTTGTTTTCCTTCGGCACTTTTAAAGCGGATCATCGTCTCATTCACACGACTCTGATGATGATTTATACTGTTCTATTTTTTCGATTCTATCCTACACTTTCGATACCCTGATACTCAACCAAGCGGGTTCATACGTTGGGAACTGGTCTGCTGTGTGCACTATCTACTACTGCTCTTTTGGGTAAGAAGAAAGTACAACATACCAGTTCCCATACATTGACTGCATTGTTTGATTAGCGTGACCTGACCTGACATGCATGCATGGTTGCTTTGCTTTTGTTTATATTTTTTGTATGATGAGAACCCCCCGGGTTACAGTGCATATACATGCGTATGCCGGTGCACATGTATGGTGGCTGTGATATGAGAGGAGGGGAAAAATTAAAATAATGGGTTGGACGATATATGCACATGTAATAGATAATTAACTTTCAATGGATAAACTTACTTCAAATTCTGTTTGCTATTTCCGCTTTTGTCAAGTAAGATTTCCGGCAAGATGCCATGTTAACCCACTCTCCTGAAACAGGTCAAACTTGCAGGTGACTTCTATCTGCGACTAATCTAGGGGGAAATACTAAATCGATGAAAACCAGATCACTAGAATCAGGTTCACTATCACAATAAAGAAGCTGAATAGATAGCATAGCTAAAGAACGACCGAGGTATATTGGATATATTGCAGAAGACACAACAACAGTCCAACGAACTAACGGTAATTGTATGGATAAATCACAAGCAGGCACAACAAGGAGGGGAATATAACAACAAGAAAGCAGAGAAGAAGCAGTAACAAACAAACTTGATTAAGAAGACAACTTGCTACCATTACCGATATCCCCGCGCAACAGGAACCGGCAGCAGGCACAAGAGGAACGGAAATGGGAATAAAAAGTGGACAATCATGCGTAGAACGGCATCACGGCGTATGTCTGTCATGCGCGGCTTGCAATATCTTCAGACCTTGTTGCCATGGGTCCGGGCTCAGTCAGCAAGATGGCAGGCAGGATGGACCTGGACGCGAAGGGGTAGGTGAAAATACATTAAATGGCGTATAAACATCGGGGGTCAAATACAGTGGTATATGGGTGATAGCGACAGTATACTCAAAGGGTCAGAAACGACAGTAGCGAAAGTAAGGAAGTGATCAGCAGAAAAGACTGGAGCTATTAGCTTCAAGGCTTGCTTGCAGCTTGCATGTTGCCAGTGAGTTCAGCAACTCTGGCCTTGATACGGGCAGCACGAGATTCGAAGCCTAGTGGTTCTTATGTTAGAGCCATGTTCATAGATCTTCAACGCAAAACCAGAATCACTTACTCTCTTCTTCACTGGTGTTGTCATCGTCGCTATCATCAGCATGCGACTCGACCTGAGCTGCCCTCGCCGCGGCGTTCTGGCGGATCTGGGCCCAGCGGTCATAGGATGTGTTCATCGGCGGAGGGGAAGGGCTGCGCTCATCCTGTGGCTCAACAGAAACCCGATCGGTCGCAGAGTGAAACGATGCAGGCTTCTCAAGGAATCGTTCGGAAACAGGAGAATCGCTAGGGACAAAAGCAGGCTGCTCGACCAGGGGTCCCTGGTCAAACCTGGAGAACTCTTGATCGGCCGCTGCGCGTTCTCTGGTATCAATGCGCGAAAGAGCGTCATATTCGGCTTGACGGCGGATTTGAGGTTCATCGCTGTGGGGAGCAGGGGGTTTGAGTGCTTCCATAGTAACCGTGGGTTCAGTGGGCTCGGGGACTTTCTCTTCCGCAGCAGGCGCGGCAGGCTTGGGACTCTCGACAGGCTTAGGTGCCTCGACAGGGACTGTAATGGGCACAGGCTTCTTTTTCAGTGTAGGCTTGCCATTTGTCGAAGGGCGCATCGTCTGCTCCTGGGCGGCTCTTGCCTTGTCCTCGAGGGCAGCCCGAGCGGCGGCAACAGCGGACCCAGTAGGTTTCATTGGCGGCTTTGGTTCAGGCTCGTTCTTCTTTTTGACTGTTCCGAACATGCTCTTGAAACCGGCGTTGCCGGGCTTCTTCTTGATCTTCCGACTAGACTCCTCCGAATCCATGGACTGTTTCGGGAGCGATTCAGTGGTTGACAAGGCAAGGCTCGGGCTGTCAGCCCTGCTTGCCGGATGCTCCTCTTGAGCAGCAGGCTCTTTTCTGGGAACTGCGGGCTTCGGGGAACTTGACGGTGTATCCTTCGGCAAAGGTGGCGGTGCCTGTCGAGCACTGGCGCTGGCCTTCGGGGAGGTCGGGGTGCTGGGCTGTTCGATCGGCACCTTGGCATCTTCTGCTAGAGCACCAGTTCCTGCACGGCTGTTACTCAAGTAGGCAGTTCTGTAGGTGTTTTTATCGTAATTGGTCGCCCACTTCATAGCCTGAGACGCTTCGTTCACGATCGACGGCTGTAGTGTCATGACAGAGTTCGTCTTCGTGTTGTATTTGACATCCTCTGAGACGTTCTTAGAGCCATTGGCAGCTTCTTGTTCCTCCCGATGCCGCTTCTGAAGTGCTGCCGCTGCCGCTTGGATGCGGGCATGCTGGTCAGGGGCAATACTGGTCTTGCTTTGGGGAGCTTCATTGTCCGGCCGCTTGTACGAGTCTTCCACCGCACTAACTTTCTTAGCGGAGGACTTGCGACGCCCAACACCGCGTTTACGAGTCGAGAACCCAAAGAAGCGCTTCTTTTCCACGATGTATGCACCCGGTTCTGGTTCCGGTGCTGCGCCCTTCACCTGCTCTTCCAGTACCAACCACTTTGTGTCTTTGATTACGGTCTCGAGCAATGCACACCGGCCAAAAACGGCCTTTCGGGACACGGGCTCCTCACCAGCCAAACTGCTGATCCACACCCACCAAAAAGAGTCATCGAGATCGAGAGTGGTGATGCTTGCGAGCTCACCCGGTTCCATGGACGGCTCGTCATTCAGGCTGCGCTTGTGTGACTGCGAGCTTTGACCCCGGACGCTTGCGATAGGGGGAAGAACCTTGTCAGGAGGAAGAAGCAAAGGAGCAATCGGGCCCTTCAGGCCGTTCTCGTCACCAAAGCCGGACGACATGAAGTCTGCCCATGATGGAGTCGTGGGCCGGCCGAAGTCACCTGCACCGGACTGTGGAGCGGACCTTAAGCCACCTCCGAATTCGTTCCTGGCTAGACGAACTGCGCTTGAATCATCATCCAGGTCAGACTCGAGGGCACCGCCAAATCCAAGGTCCTCAAATCGCGACCACGAGGCTTCCCGAGTCGCCGATCCCGGCTCCGGTGCACTTGACTGATTGATGGAAGAGATGCATTTGAGCACACGAAGACACTCATCGGTCAGTGCTTTGGTGGGCTCCTCGAAGCTGGCGAACTCCTGGAGATGGCGGTCGCTGTCTCTGTACTCGAAGTTCTTTGCGCGCCGCAGCAGAGCGAATGGAGTAGGGGAGACGGTGTCGACAATCATCACGACTCTGGTGGTGGAGACCTGAAGTAGGGTGGGCGTCTCTGGCGGATATTCCGTCGCCCGGACAAGAGTCTGGAGGGAGATAGGGAGCGTTGTAATGGCGTTCACCCCGCGCAGTTCGGGCGACAAGGATCGCAGATAGGCGAAGAACAGATGGCTTGTCGCATCAGCGGCCCTGCAGGACGTCAGCTATCAAATCCTTTGTAAGGATAGATGATCGGTTTAAATCATTTCCGTGACATACCGTGCCCAATTCTTATAAGCGGCCTCGAAGCCGTTGCCCGTATCCGCATGATCGAATGCCCACCATCCGGCATACCGGGAGAGTTTCCGTCCACCAAGACCATTAGATTTACCGTGTGCTGCGACGGCAGCGAGGAGGTCGAAAAAGTCAAAAACGATCTTCGACCGAGCGTCGGAGTCGACACTGATGGGAATGAAAGTGGTAAATGCGTCGGGGGCAAACTGGGAATCTAAGGTTCATCAGCGCGCACGTTCCTAAGCAGATGCCGCTTGAGACATACCTTGCTCTCCAACCTTAAATAGTTCATATGCTTCCCAGGTAACGACTCCTCCAGGGAGTCGACTCCAACACCATTTCAGCACACTGCACAGGACCTATACAAGACAGACACGGAATAAGAATGAGTAAATGACCCCTCATCGTCAGATAGCAAAAAGAATGTATTGGCTCACCATGGGGTCCGACAGCCGGAGTTCTTGTGCCAATGCATTCCCGCTCAGAGGTGAGCCCCTTTCCAGGGACTGATTGAAGTAGTTACGGATGAAGGTACGTGCAGCGCTGGCGTCGGTACTTGGGCGGAAGGGTAGAAGTAAAAAGGGAGTTTGAAGAGCTGTCAAAAGGAGAACGAGGCAAGGATCAGCAAACTGAGGAATGCGCAAAGCTTGACTTGACTTGTACACCAGCGGGGGGCGGTGGATCACATCGGTTCAAAGATAGAAACACATACCTCGTGCCTTTAGTTCTTGGGTGCACCCTCGCAAGAGTTCCTGAACCTCTTCGGGGGCGACCTCGGATCGCTGCCACGCGTCGGTCCATGTGGGCTTTGCGGGCCCTTTCTCTTCTACTTCCGGGGATTTGGCTGCTTTCTTTGCAGCATTGTTGTCTTTACTTCGAAAGACGCGAGTGAAGAAAGGCATCTTGCACCATGCGCACGCCAGATTTGTTTTTGCGGGGAATACGCGATCGAAGGGGGAGTTGTAAATGAGTCCAAGGCGATGCCCAACGGCGGAGTAACGTAGATGCGTTTGTCCGTAGTGAAGTCGAGATCCAATGAGATCAGTAGATTAATGCGAGCGCGAGTGTTTGGGGGTGGGAAGGGAAGATCCAACAGATGTGCTCCAACACTTTTTTTGCAATGGACCTTCAGGACGCAAGGGTGGTTGACCCGTATTAAGGAAAAAGGAAACAATCGAGAAGCAGAGGCGGAGTTGACACTGAAACCCAAGTCGGATTATGAATCGGATACCTCAATAGATTAAACCCTAGTCAGGAAAAAAAAAATAAAATAGCTGCAAAGTCAGGAATTAGAAAAATAAAAAATGGTCCGATGGACGACGCAGACAGCAAGGACCATCCAGGAGTGTCCTAGAGGGAGGACCGCCTGCAGCCCAGGATGGGGCAGCACGTCTAGCGTGCAGCAGCAGCAGCAGCAGCAGCAACCGCGAAGGAATTCAGGGTAGTAAGGAAATGCAATCGAGCAGCTGGCCAACGAGCGTAGATACCACAGTTAATCCCGGATGACAACGTGGTGGAAGGGAAATTAACAGAAGACAAAGCTTGACAGAAACAAAGATTTGCAGAGAGGAGGGAGGGGGGAATAAAGGAGAGGGGAAAAGAAACACTGAAGTCGCAAATTGAGATGAGAAAAAGGACGGCGATGATGAGGATCTACTGGGCTTGCCGTTTCAGGGGGTGAAAGATTAATACGCCCGCAAAACACAGCAATCTGGTGCCATGGTTCTCTATCCCGCGATCCAGTCGGTAAACGCCCGTCGATTGGAGCAAACGAAAAGAAATAACCCAACCGAGTCAGAACTCGATCGGGCTCCCCTTCTTTTCTGGATCTTTTGCTTACTTTCTATGAGGTCACAGCTGAAGAACGTGGTTCCGACCAAGTTATATATTCAAAGGCGTTGTGTTGGTCAACATGGTTGACTATCTCCCGGTAGGTTACTTTAGTTAGCTATCTGGCGGGAGACGATGATCAACATTACCTGAATTATGGTATTATCACACCCTCTTTCCTAACATTACACGCATTCTCCATACATCCCCTCATCTACTGCATACAATAAACACAGTCCAGACTCATCATCCCTATAAATCCTATTAATCCTTCCCTTGGCATGGAAGACCTGCGGGGCTCAATGGTGTTTCACCTGCTGAAGATTCATTATGCTCTTCGTCACAGGGTATGAGTAATAGTAAGGATAGTAACTAGTAAGGATAGTAGTATATACTTACTAACTACGCCATAAACTGTGCAATATTGGTGCCCAGTCCGGGTCATTTGATGTGACATGGTTGTACAGCAGCAATAATTTTCTTTCCTATTGGGAAACATACCGCCTCTCCAAGCGTGTCGCGTCGAGTGTGATAAGTTGATTAGGGTAGAGTTAGTGTCATGTAGGAAGCACCTAGCCTGGCCTGCACCACCTTAGCACCGCCAGAACAGATCCTACGATTCCACTCAAAGAAAGTGATCTCCTGTGACGGGTCACGGTGCAAGGGCCAATCAGAGGACTTGGCTGGAAGAGGCAAGTGACTGATCAGGAGTCCCTGTTGGCCCGATGCGGATTAGGCGTATCGCCAACTGGGACTAGTCCGGTTTGGGATGGTCGATACCTGAGGCTGGCGGTGATAGCGATACGCCAGACTTGACTTGGCTGTGACTGTGCCGGCAGGCGGTAAAAGAACAACCAACGGCGCAGCTTTGTTTGGATAATTCTGTGGTTGGGGATTGTGCCAGCCAACTGCAATGTAACCCCATCTGGATTAGTGATGATGGCGTTATTCACAGTTTTCCCCCCCTCTCAATAAATGTAGATTAGTTTGTCTTAGTTAGTGTTGGAAAGAGGGGGATAATTTGTAGATGGGAGGAAGAGGGGGTGGAAAGAGGGGTGGGTAAGCGTGAGATAGCATTTAGCTGAGAGGAAGAAGAGAAGGAGGAAGATGCTGGTTAAGATGATTCACGAAAAATAAGCATGAAATTTCAAAGGTGAGATTTTGAAGGAGAGGATGCTACCCTTTCATCTTATATCTACTCAACTACTGACGGAGTACCTAGGTACAGTAAGTGTGAACTGCCGGGACAATCAATCTATTAATAGGGAGGCGGTAGTCAACAGCCGCCGTTGGCGAGTTGGTTAGCCGCCGGGAAGATGGGCCAAACCTCGAATGGGCGGCAGCTCTTCCCACCGTCGGTCTATCTTTAGAATAATCTTCTGCATCACCCGCGTGTCGCCGCTCCAGCCATCAGTCATCCTTTCCCTTTCTCACTCAATCCCCATCCATTCCATCATCGTTTCCCCCTCCCCATCCTAGAAATTAATTGACTTTTTTGTTCTATCACGTCGCCTATCTCTCGTCTCTCGTTGCTCAAGGTGGGTTTCCTAAGGCCTCGTCTTTCTCTCTCTCTCTTTTCCCTTTGTTTCGCTACCCTGTCCATCCATCTCTTTCTCTCTCTACCGCCCACCCCCTTTGTCGTGTCTTCCTGCCCGTCGGATCACGCCCGCGCGCGCCCTTCTGGTGTCCTGTTCATCCCTCCTCCAAAATATCGTCACTCTTCCTAATCTCACCCCTCCTTCCTCTTGCTTCTCCCACCCAAACAACTCTCTCGCATCACCAACCCCCTCATACACACACACAACCCCCCGGTCGTTCACTATCTTCCCTGGTTTTTGCGTATTTTCGCGCCTTACCTTCCTCTCCGTAGCGGAGAAGACAGTACTTCTCTCCATGTGGGGACTAGGGAAATACTAAATATAAATTCTGCCCACAGTCTTGGAGGTTCCTGCCATCCTTTTTTATTATTTTTTTTTACACCCTCTAATCGCGTCCCGGAAATCCTTGCGGGCGGCGCTTCCTCGAGTTTCAGCTCGCGCCGCCATCTGTTCCGGACGAACCATTCCCCCCAGAAGCTCTGCTTGACCTGTTCGCCTGCGTGTTTCATCGACGCTCTTTTCTGTGGGATTCGCTCGTCCGCTGTCCCTCATGGGTCGCAGAAAGATCGAGATCAAGGCGATCAAGGATGATCGCAACCGCTCAGTGTAAGTGCTAAAGCTGGTGGATCTCTTCACCTCTCCCTATTAAACCCTAGTTCGTCAAGCTAACGCTCTGGTGCGCTACTAGGACCTTTTTGAAACGGAAGGGTGGTCTGTTCAAGAAGGCACATGAGCTTGCGGTCCTTTGTTCGGTAGATGTCGCTGTCATTATCTTTGGTCACAACAAGAAGCTCTACGAATTCTCGTCATGTGATATGCGAGAGGCCCTCACTCGATATCAATACGTGCGTTGTCCATCTAATCCGCTCGTCTGGAAAGTCTCCTGTTGATCTGACATCGCCGCTTTTCCATGCTTTAGTTTGGTCCTCCACATGAACACAAAGGCCCCGAAGACTTTAACGGCAAACGTGACGATGATGACGACGAAGATGAGACGACGCCTGCCCCCGAAGATGTGCATCCTACGCCTCCGAACCCTCCCATGATTCCCGCCCACCTACCAGGTCATCCCGGTTTCCAGCATGTCACCCATGCGCCGTCTGCTTCTCCGCCCATCGGGAATGGGATGTTTGCTCCGCGCCACGGTACCCCTCAACCGCAGGGAGTTTCTCGGCCTTCGTCTCGGAATCACCTTCGCCGAGTGAGCTCCAATATGGGGCCTCAGCAGCATCATCATGCGACACCTCCGCCGCCTCCGCCGCCGCCGCAAAATGGCTTCACGTACATCCCTAACCCTTCGGTATATAATCCCAACGCTGCTCACGCCATGGCTCAACCTCCCCGCCCACCTCAGTTCACTCATTACGGACCCCCTGGGCCGCATCACCAACCGCCTCCGCCTCCACAACATCATCAAGCTATGCCACCACATTCCATGCCCCCACAGCCTATGCCTCCACACACAATGGCACCGCAAGCCATGCCGCCGCATCATCAAGCTCCTCCACACATGCCACACCCGCCTCATGCACTTGCACAGCAACCGCCTCCAATGGCTATGACCCAACCGCCCCATGCCGCCATCCCACAGGTCGCACAAGCGTTTCTCCCAGACCAAGGACGAAATTCTATGCCTCCGGCATTCACAACAGATCAGCAGCCACCGCCACCCCGAACAGTATCGCTCCCTGAGGGGACCGCTCCGACAGAGGCAATACCGGGCCCCATGAAGACGGAAGGAACGCCATCCCCGCCGCATCAGCGATCTCTCTCCTCCAAGTCTCGCAGTATCTTCACTCCCATTGACGATCGAGGTTCCGTATTGGCGCGCCATTTCGGTGTAGGTCCTCCGACGGAGGCGGGAGAGAATGCGCAAACAAGGGCTGAAGGACCAACACACGGACCGAATGACGGGAAGCCTGCCGGGCTGACTGCAAAGCCTCCTCCTCCGCCTCCTCGAGCTGCCACGGAAGCCCCACGTGCACAGCCGGTAGTCGACCTGAAGCCGCCTGTGCGCACAAACAGCGGCCAGTTCCCGCCTAAACGCCCGCAGTTGAAGGTGCAGATACCGAGTGAGAATTCGGACCGGGGCAGCGCAACGGCGGACTCATCGTCACGCGATTCGGCGGGGAATAAAACGCTCACGCCTGCCAAAGCAAATCCAGACACCGGTCATTCGAGCGTGGTATTACCACCGCCCTCGCCGTCTGCGGGCGCAATACTAAGTGCGGGGGCTCAAGGACCGCCAAATCCTTTTGCCCGGCCTCCGCCTCCGGGAGCAGCAACACAGAACAACAGTGCATACAACAATAATAGCAATATAGATACGCCGATCTCTGCTCTTCCTAGTCGGTTCGTCTCGGATGCGCTTCTCCCGTCACCGTCCAGTTTTTTCCCGGAATGGGGCTTTGGGCGGTCTGGACCAGACAGCAACATGCTGCCCAGTCCCCTAACGTTCCCTACGCCGGCGGTGCAAAGTGGCCCCGGGTTTGGGCGCGAAGATGAGCAAGACAAAAAGCGCAAAAGCCCCGACAGTGGACCCAATGCGGAAGGGGTATTAAAGAAACCAAAGACGTAAATCCGCTCCATATTGTTACAACTACTAGACTGATGATTGTGGTATTTTGTTGCTGGGGTGATCATGTCCCCCGTGTTTCATATATGGCATCTCAAGGCGTTGGCGAAAGCTACTTTTGGTTTCCTTGATTGGGATGGGAAAGTTTCGAATGAGGCTCGTTTTGTTTCCCTTGGATCCTTTTTTGTCCTTCGGTTCTGAACAAGTACCAAGTCCTTCCTTGTTTTGTGATAAGGGTTTCCGATTTAACTTTATACCCCTTCCTTTTTATTGTTATTGCCATTGTCGTGTTTGGCAGTTGACCTAGCTATCCATCGATTTCTCTCTCTCCAAAGTCCGAAATATATGAGAATGGTGCGATAAACCTTTCCTTTTCCTTACCTATTTCCTTACTGTTTTGCTTTATTTTTTTTTCGCTGGGGACTCTGAAGATAAAACACATAATATTATCATATTAAGTGTTTTAATCTTCCCAGTCACGGGTGGCTTTTTCTCTTTCATATATTATTACAATGTTCTTATTATTTTGGGTGGAATTACAAAAAAAAAAAAAAAAACAAAAAAACAAAAAAACAAAAAAAAAATGTGTACATAACAAGCCGTGCGATGTGCAACTAGGAGAATTTAATTCAATAGTAGGATTTCTTAGCTTTACTAAAGCTTGCTGGGTGTGTGGTTCACCGCACATCCCGTTTCCTTCCCCGTTGCTTCTAAATATAAAGAGTTAGTTATCTGATAGTAGGGATTCCAACCTAAGGGCTGATTGATAGTTCCGTTTGCCGGAAACCTAAATAAAAAAAACGTTAACTCTAAATCTTTTTTTGGTGTTGGGGGGCGCACGAGTCATGAATGACATCAGTTTTTTCTATCTCTTGTTATCTGATGGATAGTAGGGATGAATAATATCTAGGGAAGGATGGGATGGGGTTTTAGTTCGAAGTGCAAGCAAGGTATTAGGATTCAGTATTATGAATGGATGATGATGGTATTATAGGATTTGGTAGGGTAGTGGATTTGGTTGTTGATGATTTTGTGACTTGTGTATCCTTTCCATTATCGTAGTAGTAGTAGTTTAAAGTATCTCAGCCAGTCACAGTCAAGTAGTATTAGATTTTAAAGTTTAGATACATCACATCATGATAATCATCTTGTGTAAATGTAAATGCCATGCAAGTATGTATGTTGAATGCAGATGAAAGGTTTCTAGTCCAGATTCGTTAGTGTAGTTGAAATCCATCCCATTCATTATACCTTCTTCCTTCGGCTAGTATCTTTTTTTTTCCTCTCTCGCCTTTTGGTTTCTAGCCTTAGAGGCCTGAATCATTAATAGTTTTTGAGTTTCGTTCCCACAGGGATGAAACCAGGATTTTGCATGTATGTAAACTGAAATGAAGAAAAGTCCGAGAAAAAGGATGCGTTAAACTGCCTCCTTCGCCTCTTTCTCTTCCTCCCCCCTCTCCCTTTTCTGATCCTTCAAAACTGCCTGTCTGGCCTTCTCCTGCTCTGCGAGACCGGTCTTTGCAATGGTATGCGATTTGCTCAGCACGACAGGCCTTACAAACAGACTTATAATAAGTCCTAATCCGGCCATCACAGTATAGAAGATCCACATGCGACTTAGCGCCAGCGTATACGCCTTCAACACGACAGTCTTCTGAGCGCTGCCCAGGGACTTGATCAGTGTGCTAGCAGATCCTGAGAACGAGTTCTCGATGGACGTGGCCTTCGCCTCGCCGATCGCGGCAGCGACTTTGGGCATTTGCTCGTGGAAGACGTTCTGGTAGATGACTGTTCCCAAGACGATGGAGATGGCGGCAGACACCTGGCGCAGGAAACCGAAGGTAGCTGTTCCGGCGGCCATATCGGAGGGGTGGATGTTGGCTTGTAGAGCGACAAGTGGGGACTGGAAGAGCGGGCCAGTGCCGATACCGCCGATGATCTGGTAGATGATGATGCGGGGCCAGGAGGCGTAGTACTTCAGGTCGATGAGGAGGCCGTACCCGAGGGTCATGAGGGCGAAGCCGGCAATGATGAGTTCGCGGTATCGGCCGGTCTTTTTTATGACAAAGCCGGTGGCGGCGGAGAAGATGGAGAGGCTGAGAACGGTGGGGAGGACGTAGACGCCGGACATGATGGGGCTGGCGAGGAGGACGGTTTGGAAGTATAGAGGTAGGTAGTAGGAGCCGGAGATGAAGACCATGCTGTGGCAGAAACAGAGCAGGAGCATCAGGACGTTGTGGGTGTTGTTGAATAGGCGGATGGGGATAACGGGGAAGCGAGCGAATTTCCATTCGTTGAGAACGGCGAGGCCCCAGGTGAAGACGCCGAAGACGATGAGGCAGATTACTGTTGGTGAGTCCCAGGGGTAGTTGACGCCGCCGAATTCAAGGCCGAATAGGAACATTAGTGTGCCGCCGAGCATGAGCATATTGCCTGTCCAGTCGATGGAGCGGATTCCAGCCCAGAAGGGCACTTTGCCGGTTTCGATCTTGAGGAAGAATACGAGGATGACGAAGGAGACGCCGCCGATGGGGACTGGGGTGTTGTTACTTGGGTGTTAGGGCTGGAGGAGGGAGGGAGGGAGGCTTACGGTTGATGTAGAAGCACCAGCGCCAGGTTACGTCTGTGGTAAAGGCACCGCCGACGATAGGGCCTAGTGCTCCGGCGATGGCCCATGTAGAGCCGAAGAGACCGTAGTACATGGGGCGTTCTCTGATGGTGTGTTAGCGCTGGGTCAGAAGAGGGCTAGTGGAGAGGTGCGACAGACCTGACACTGAAGAGATCAGAGACGCAGATATTGGCTAGCACGATGATACCACCGCCGCCTGCACCTTGAATGGCTCTGCCAGAGATGATCATGGGGAGGTTAATGGCCAGCGCGCAAATCAGACTGCCGACGAGGAAAAGGAAGTTGGCGATAAGAATAATGCGCTTGCGACCCCAGACATCACTGATTTTTCCCCATAAGGGAACACAGGCAGCGTTAGCCAGCATGTATGATGACGCGATCCATGAGTAACCGCTTTCGGAAGCGTTGAAATGCGTTGCGATAGTAGGTAGGGCTGTAGAGACGATAGTCTGTAGAGACAACAAGTGTGAGGAGATGTAAATGCGACGGTGCGATAAAGGGTCGTTACCATATCCAAAGCTGCTAGGAACAGGACAAGCTATATTTGAAACACCATGTGGTTAGCGATGGAGCCATCAGAAGCAGGGAAAAGCAAGGGACATACACAAAGCGCAGTCATGACAACGACAATCTTCTTCTTCCCTAGCTTCTGTGCCTGCGACGGCACTCTATCCAACGGCGCACCAGCGCCAGCTTTCTCGTCGGACACATCTCCAGTCTCTTCAGGAGATGGTTGTTCTGTTGATGTCTGCGAGGGCGACCCGACAGGGTCGGGCTTCTCCGAACCATCTCTGGACGAAGAGCCAACATCGGATGGTGACATCTTCTCCGCATCAACCAGGACGTCCTTGTCCTGGTCGGCATGCTGCTGCTGCTGATGCGCGTTACGATCATCCTCACGAGGAAGATCCTGAGTGACCGCCATGCTTGCAGAACTCCAGGATGAGTCTGGAGAGAGAAACAGAAGAAAACGAAAAAAGAATGACTCAATAGAAGCCCGAAAGCTTGCTGTCCAAGAAAAGAATCGGGGGTGAGGAGAAAGGAACAGGACCCCTCAGAGTGGCGGATTAAACCGACGGTTGCAGTCAGTCTTAAAAGTCTAGATTTTGGGGGAGGAAATCAGGGCGCAAGAGAGACCAGCTCAACTAATCAAGTAAATTAAACTAAATAGCTACGTAGCTAGACCAGACAGGAATCTGGCCCATTTAATAATAAATAATCCTTTTCCAAGGAGAGAAAATTTTCCCCTGTCAATGCTCGCGCTCGCCCTTAAGGCTCGGAGATAAGTTGACACAGAAACCAACGACAAAGCCATGCCCAAAACGGGCAAGAATGCTATCGATCTCGTGGGCGCCAAACGAACAAGGCTACAAGCACGCCCCGAAAAAGCCACCCCACGGGCCACTTCAATCCATGGACACGGGATGATGGTCAAGCAATCCCATGGAATGACATACAACAACTGAAAATTTGGGATAAAAATCCCGACTGCAGGAGGGAGAAATTTGGGGGGGAAAGTTACAACCGTTGGCACGCCCGGACATTTTTTGGGGTTTGTCTGCATGTCTGCATGCCTGAAAAACAAACAAATAAGACCTGTCACAATCCTCAGTCTTTTTTTTTTTTTCTTTCTCCCCGACGATGATCTGCAGTGATGCTCTCTATCAATCTTTCAATCATGATGGAGCATCGTGGAATTGAGTCTACACCGCATCTTGACTTGCGTTTTACTAAAGCACCATGCAGCTAAGGGCATTGCAATTGCGCCCGATACGGGAAAGTCTTGCTTCGCTTGAGACTAGGAAAAAAGAAAAGAAAAAAAGCCCATGTCATACTTGTTCGCTGTAGATTTCCCGGGTTTTGCTTGCGAAGAAAGATGTTACGAGAAAATAATAAGGGTATAATGTACAATTATAATTAGGGAGGAAACCCTGGAGGAACCCAACATTTCAACCATACCAAGTCTATCCATCCTGAAGCTGGAGGATTTCTGCACCGACATTTAGCAACCAACTATCCAACCTCATTCCACATAACCAGGGTGGGAACCAACTCACCAGTCAAGAATTCCTCAAAGCTCACCGTAATATAGCCGTCGCGATCATCATCATACCGCTTAAAGACATCCGTCATGCGCCGCAGACTAATGCACGCCTGTACGAACAAATCGAAGCTCATGCCCTGTTTCGCCGGCCCATACGGAGGACCATTGTTAATCTGCCGGCCTTTGTTCTCGAACGTCCGGAACAGCACCGTCACAAATGGCTGGCTCAGCCGGTACCCGAAGGCCACCAGTGCATTCTCGAACTCGTACAGGCTGATGCGCCCGCTGCGGTCTTGATCGAACCGATCGAACAGCTCCCGCCACGCTGCAAGGTAGCGCCACAGTGCCACAAACTCGTCAAATGAGATTGTCCCGCTGTTGTTCCGATCGAACATGCGGATCATCATCTTAACGGTCTTGGGGTGAAACGATGTGAAGTCTCCGTTCACTAGAGCAGAGCCCAGCTCCATCTCTGTGAGTGTACCCGAATGAGATGTGTTGGCAGCGCGGAAAAGGGGGAATAGCTGTTGCGGGTCGTCGTCGGGAACTGCCAGCGCACCATGGTTCGGCGAGTTGGGCGGACGCGACGCGGGCGGCGGACGATTGCGCACTGGCTGGCTAGGAGGCGGCCCGAAGCCGTAGTTCTGTGGAGGAGGAGAAGGGTGTAGTGGGTGAGGGCGTTGCTGTTGACTCGCTGGAGGGACGTTTGCCGGCGACCGTCCACCATGCGGGGCCTCCATGGGAGGACGCTGACTCGGTGGTGCGCCGTAGCGCTGGGGATGGGGATTGCCGGCACTAGAAACGGGGACTCGAGGTGGGACGCCGCTGGAGGAAGGATGAGGAGACGGGCGAGAATGCTTCTGGTGGTGCGAGTTGCTGGATTGCATGGCACCGAGCATTTGCGCTACCTGATTGTCATAGACCGAGTTAGGAGGCGCGGGGCATTCAACCAGGCAGACAAAGAACCACTCTCGAGGAGAAACTACCGCACCTGTTCCGGCTCTGCATGCCTGTATCGATTTATGGCTTGTTAGCGACCCCATTCATCACTTCTGATTGACCTCCTGAGGATTGTGACTCACGCTGGCAGCGCATCGGGGTTGTAGGACTGATTGTATGCCATGGCCGCGGATCTGACGTAACTGACGCCGGGCGCAATCCAGCGAGGGGCAGAATGAAAAGGTAAACGCCCAGTTACAAAGGGCGGGTTTTGGAAGGGGAGAAAAAGAAGGGAGAGAAGGAGAAGAAAGAAAAAGATGGGTTAGGATCAAAAGGAGGTCAGGGAGAGCGATGGAGAGATTAAGTTCTGTTCCATGGGCTGCTAGTCATTAACGAACAGATTGTTTTTGCGGCCTTGGGAGCGGAGCCGTGGGGCGGCGGTTCAGCAGGAGTCGCCAAGCGGAGATGCTCAGGCACCGCTTCAACTAATAAACTTGTCCTGCCACCCCTGCAAGGAGGCTGTGTATATACCTCTCTAATGAGGAGGCAGCAACAATTGCTTCAGATAGAAATAGTCCGTCGCCAGTGTAACCTTACCCTCTTGACAGCCGCAACGGACGGTCCGCAACCAAACACTGGCATGTCCGACCGTTCTCAGCCCTATGTTGGAGGCTTCTTTATTTGTTCCGGAAATGCTTGGCCCACTGGTTCCTCTTCCATTCGCGGTGGAGCCTGGCCAGCGTCTGTTCGTCGGGGAAGGTCTCTTTCCTATCAAATTATGGTCTGGTATGGTCTGACTATGAATATCACCCATCAGTCACGCTAGCCAGTCATTCAATTGGCCCCGTGCAGGAAGGCGTAGACGTATCGCCCCGGCTAGTGAAGATTAAGCGCTTTTACCACCCCCTGATTGACTCCTTCAGCCCCTCGGATTGCTCCTCCAGCTCGTTCATGATCTCCGTCCACGCTCTCGCCTGGAACTGCTTTCCTTCCGCTCCCGTTGTCAACGCCACGGATTCACTGCCCTAACATTAGCAACCCTGCCACAAAGACAACACGTAGAAATATCACAGAAGAGAAACACTTACTCTAGATATCCATCACTCCGCCAGCACTTCCCATGCGACTCCACCCCCTGATAGGTGGCACTGACCAACGACCGGCTCCCTTGCTCCGCCGTGCGCGCAAAGAGCTTATAAGCCAACCACGTCGCCCATCGCTCGTAGAATCTACTGTACTGCCGTCCAAGAGACGAAACACAAAACCCAGGGCTTACAGTGTTAATGATGACCGGCACAGTGCCATTCTCATTCCGAACAAGACCAGCTACCGTCTTGAGAACATACTCCAGGAGAAGCTTCGAGATACCATACTGCTTTGGGCCTTTGAAGGTCTGCGGGCTATTCAAATGCTTTAATAATGGCTGCACCGTCCGAAGACTCTTGGCTTTCACGCGCACGAACTGTTGGCTGGACACGACCGTAAGATGAGCCGGGTCGGACAAGGATGAGCTACTCCTTAGTTTCGGAAGGAGCAACAGCGCCAACAGAGAAGTGGATAACGTATTGACCTGCAATGTTTCCTCCCATCCCTCGGGCGATACGCCGAAATCTCGGTTCCATATTCCGGCGTTTAGTAACGCAATGTCCAATTGGTGCAGCTCCTCGTTCACCCGGTTTGCGAAACTCTTGACGCTCTGGAAGCTGTTCATTTCCAGCTGCCATACTTGAATCACCCCGGGTCTGTTTGTAAGCTTCTCAAGCTCCGTCTTGGTCGCTTGGCCTCGCTGGAGGTTCCGGCTCCCTATAATGAGCGACTCCACCCCGAGATTGAGGAGCTTGACGGCGGCCTCGAACCCCAGTCCGGATGTAGCTCCGGTCAGGATGACCGTTTTCCCTGCAAATGAAACCCCACTGGGGTCGACCGGTGGGTTATACTGGGTGCGTAGTAGACGAAGGAGGCTAGCCATGGTGCAGTTAATCGGCACGCGACAGAACACTATACAATCCAGGGGGAATAGAAGGACGGCCAGTCATTGATGTAGCCTAAAGGAGCTGACAATCGACACATTCAGGTCGATCAATTAATATAAGCTGAATAGGGATGCGTCTTCGAAGGATCGGATCCAACCCAACCCTGCATAAAGTTGAAGATGGTTGAATTCAATTGATTAGCGATCCGCCATGGACGATAGCTGCCAGGCGGTTTAGCTTGAGCTAAGGCCGGGTCCGGCGTCTGGGCCGCCCCGCAGTAATACTCGATGCGGCTTTACGAGTACGAGCAGTTTCTGCAGTCCGCCAAGGTCCTCAGCAGAAAGTTTGCCGTTGAATCCGGTAGTAACAAGCGGTTCCCAATTTTTCCGGTTTGCAGATATATACCTGTATGGATAGTATGAGGCTTAGAATAAAGCAACTAGAATTCTGGGGATAGTGCTTAGAACTTAGTATTAGAAGAAATGGAGAGCGAATGAGAAAGCAGGAAAGTGGCAACATCCTTTGGGCGCGGATCAGGTCAGGGGACCTCGCAAACAATGCAAACACGCAGAGGCCTTTCTTGCGACTATCTGGCTCAGTTGTTCGCCATTTGCACTCATAGACTGACAAATCTGGGGTATTTGCTCCCTTTAAAGCAGTTGTATTGATTCCACTGCCTTCTTTGGAGTGCCCTTTTTCAAACAACTAAAAGTCAAAAGACCTTCCTCCCTATAAAATACCACTTCTTCCTCCCTACCCATCAATATATATCCAACCAGCAAACTCGAATGAGGGGTAATATATAGTACCCCGCAGACCAGCCGAATTATCCACACCGACAAAGATCATCAGCCCAAAAGATCAAACCAAAATCTCCCCCCGAAGATAAGTTAAGCTATGGTGTCCAGCGAGGAAGCCGGACATCATCATGTCCTTTCATCCGAAAAGGGCTGGCGCGAAAACTTCCCCGACGGCGACCTCTGGGTGTTCGGCTACGGGTAAGCCTATCAGGTCCTTGAACGCGATTGGCGCGACGGTGATTATCCCATGACTGGGTGACGGTGGTGGCTGACCCTTTCTTCTTTTCTTGCTGCCAAAAGGAGCTTGATTTGGAAGCCTCCGCCGCATTTTGGTATGTTGATGTTGTTCTGGAGAGATAAGAGGGTCTTAAGGACCTTGATTGATTCAGAGTGAATTGATTGTTAATTGTCGTTGTGGTAGATCAGCGTGTTCCGGGTTATATCAATGGCTATGTCCGACGGTTTTGGCAGGTATGTTGTTGACTATGTCATTGTCTCTTCCATGATGTCTGCTTGTTATGTCTGTGGATGATGTCGATTGGTGATGAGGCTAACTAGCCATTTGAATCATAGGCTAGGTATGTCTGGATATGCTTTCAAGCTGCGAAAATCTATTGTTGCAGCACAATAGGCTAACACGCAGGACAGTAACGATCACCGCGGCACAAAAGAGAATCCCGGACGGGTATTAACAGTGATTGACCGGGAGTTCTGGGAAACTCTTGATGATCCGGTATGATTCCTTTGCTCCCTTCTGCGCCTGCACATATCCTCTTCCTCTGGTCAATTATCTCACAAACCACCCCTCTAAACAGCTAGCACACCATGAAACCTCCGCAACAGCTACAGTCTGGGGTGTAGCGTACCACATCCCTGCCAGCCACGCCAATGAAGTCCGACAATATCTTGACATTCGGGAAATCAATGGCTACTCCGACCACTACACGCCGTTCCACCCGGTCCTGACACCCCAGGGAGCTAGATCTACTGACACCTCGGACTATCCCGCCACTCCCATCACCTGCATGGTTTACATCGGCCAGCCCTGCAATCCGCAATTTCTACGTAACCCGGCACAACGTGAACAACAGGCGGTGGCCGAGGTGATCAGTCGCAGCGAGGGCAAAAGCGGGAAGAACGCAGAATACCTGTTCATGTTGGAGAAGGCGCTCGAGGGGCTTGGGTTCGGTAATGCTGAGATGCATGTCACCGATCTAGTGAAACGGGTTAAAGCGCTTCAGAACGAGGAAGAGGTGCGTAGGGAAGAGGAGCAGGCTGAACGGGACTTGGAAGAGTCGCTGCATCCATCGGCGCGGGAAGCAAATGAAAGGTTCCCGCCTGCTGAGTAGACATGTCTGAATAAGAATATAGAGAGATAGAGATGATGAGATTGGGATAGATCATGACTTGGACCTAGATTAATTCCAAATTCACGATAGAGCACTGATTGCTTTCGCTGGACCACTTTCCCATCGGCCTCAAATCAGGTGTTAACATAAGCCAGATTACATACATGTCAACCATGACCCGAGTAAACGACGTCAGAAACAATTGATTTAAAGCCACGCGATGCGAAACCATATCAAACCACGAGAGAGATGTCATTATCGCAATGAACTGGCGTGAGAGGGGAAAACAATAACGGAAAGAAACAAGAGATAGGGGTCGTTTCGTCGTAAGTCACCATCATAAAAGCTGGGTAGCATGCGCCCGGGGTTTTATCCCAAACTTTATGTCCGAAGGGACTAACAGCAGCTGACATGCGAGAAAGAGGGAAAAAATCGTGAAAAGAAATGAAGAATAGGACAAGAGACCGGTCCGTAGTAAGCCATCGGCAATGCTATAATAGCTTGCGCAGCTTACTCTGCAGCCTCAGGCTCCTGCTGCTGGGAACGCCAGCCTGCTTTTTATTAGCTACAATGAGAAAATTTGGAGGTGAAAACGAGGGCCTTGATGCCAGTGCCCACTAGGGAGATAGAAGAGAAAAACTCACCGCCGCCGTTGTAGCCACGGTTGTAGCCACCGCGTCCGTGGAAACCACCACCACCACCACCCATGCGCGGTCTCGACTCCGAGGCTTTGTCGACACGGATGACACGGCCGTCGAATCTGAAATTTGTCAGTATTTGGAAATAAAACATCTAGATGTCTTGCTTACTCCTGGTTGTTCATGGCGTTCATGGCAGCGTCGGCCTCAGCATCAGAGGCGAAGCGGACGAATCCGAATCCACGGCTGCGGTGGGTGTCATGGTCCTTGACGACAATCTGAGTTTGGTCAGTACGAGCATAATGATGGAGAACTTTCATTGCTCCGCGAAACATGGATGACCAACGGCTTCTTCGATTGTTCCATATTGCGAGAATCCCTCACGGAGGGTATCGTCAGTGGTGTGCCAGGCAAGGCCGCTGATTTTGGTCAGTATGCTATTGGGGCCGGGTGGCCAGAAAGGAAAAAGAATTGACAGACCCGATAAAGAGCTTAGACATTTTTATTGAGGTTTCCTACAACGGAGCTGGAAACTATTCTGGTAGTAAGCACCTGCGGAATGAGGATGTCTGTCACAGCGAAAAATGAGGGGTTGGATGCGATGGTTTCTTTGACAAAGTAGTCACGTCGAACTTTGAGAAAACTTCACAAAAGCCGACCAAAGAAGAGACCTAAGAATGTAGACGGAGGAAGAAAAAGCAAAAGAAAGTGGGAGAGTGAGAGAGGATGAAGGGAATGGTTTTAAGAGAGACGACAGCAGACCCTGGAGGGTCCTCTCCACGACGGAGATTCAGTGAGACCGTTGCAAGTGACTCCACCAAGCATGAAACTAAAACATACTGCCAAGGGAAAGACGAAGAGAAAGAAGAGACTGACCTACCTGATTTGTGAGTGGTGCTTGGAATTTGAGTAAGGGATGGAGGGGTAGTTGTAAACTAAGGAAGCAGTTCTGCAGAACCGGGACCAGGAATGGGGGGGGAGTTTTAGGGGGGATTTAGTTTTGTAGGAACCGGTGAGAATGACGAAGAAGAAGAAAACGCGGCTGGCAAAGCGGGGGGGAAAAACGAAAAAAAAAAAAAGAGAGGGAAGAAGGGAAGAGGGAAGAGCCTGGCGTGCTCGAGGCTCTAAGGGAAGGGAAGAGAGAGCATCAGGGCTGTTTGTCTTAATAATGCAAACCAGCGATGGGATTGGAGACGCTAAAGACTCATGCCCGGCGCACCTCCGTTCCCCTCCTCTCTTGGAGAATTTTTGGAAAATTGGGGAAAAAATGTTGAGATGTCCGCCGGTGGCTGTAGCCGTTGCACTGGGATCACATTTCTCCGTAGATTCCGGTGGGTGGATGTTTATTTCAAGTTGGTTTGGCGACCTTCCATCAAGGCGCTTGGAACTACTTACTATCTATCTACTCTACTTGGATGGCGGACGATGTTGAGCCTGCTTTTGAGGATGCGAGAACCGGAAACCAGGCCGGTAATGAAAGGGAGCTAGGTAAGGACTAGAGATCGGCTAGGTCTCTATGCATGGCGCCGAAGCTCAAGGACACAACGGGTGCCAATTTGCAGCTCCCGTTGACCGACGAAGAACTACTCATGTCCGCGGATCCTCGTCGTAGGGCTGTTTAAGATGCCGGACATGGTCTAATGGTCTATCTTTCGCTGCACGGACGCTGCTGTTCAACCAACCCAGCAGCTTGTATTGCTGGCATTTGAAGCTGTAACTTACACATGCCGGGAGCATAGACTGGCACTCGTCTGGTACCTGCCAGCTATCTATCTAGCTTATCTGACAGGCCCGGGTCTTCACTACTAAGCAATTCCCGGGTAGAAGTATTCACTGGACGAAGCATTCTAGCTACTGGTGGGGCCAGACCTGCACAGTGCTTCTTTCTATTCACCACTCTCTCTCTCTCATACCCACCTCCCTCAATTGCTCTCCATTGGCTTCCTTATTGACCATTAGAATCTGTCTTGGGATTTGATGGGCTTCATGCTTTTCAGCTGCACTCAGGAGATTGAATATTCTCAGCAAGTGCGAGCGGCGCATGGACTATGTCCAACCCCCAAGTATGAAGGTAGTGTTACCTTCCACCTTTTCTTCCTCTACCGTCAACCTTGTTTTTTCTTCCTCACTCACGGTGCTTCATCCTTCACCCTGAGAACTGCCTCGATACTCTAGGGCCTCACCAGGATGGGCGATATCACTAATGAATAGAGTGTGAGTATCGGTCAAGATGGCCGCGCAGTGGCCAAGGACTCTATAGGTGCTTACAGTGATGGAATCATTCAGGATGGCAGCCATCTGTCGATAACCGGATATGCGAGATCAAGGAATGTGCCAGGAATACCCTCGAGCACAAGATGAGCATAACAGAAGCAGCCCCTGACGACGGGGTGGCGGTGACAGGTGCTGTGAAGGACAACAGGGCATTGGCCAAAAGAATGGCAGCCTTGCGTATCAACCAACCGCTGCTCGCTCTACGGCAATCAATGCAGCATCTCTCTGGTGAACTGAGGCAATCGGAAATTAGTATCCATGAAACATCATGGTATACAGCTGACAAGGCAAAACCACAAACTCCGAGAAATCCCCTGAAGGATGTCCTGCGGAAATCCGTCATTATGCTGACAGCCTACTTTTGAAATGCCTCTCCTGCGCAGTATTGGGTCCTATACACAACACGTTTGAGACTCCATGCTCCCGTCGATATTGTCGAAGGTACACAACAAGCTAATCGACGAAGCTTAGATAGCTGGCGATAACCGGAGGGAAAACGAACGGAGCGGCAGGATATCACTTGCCATTTCCTTAGACACAGCGTGTAATAGACCCCTGTTGTGCAAGAATACTTCGGAGAGTACAAGTTATACCTCTAGCGGAGATACAGCAGAAAGCAGTCTTGCGTTGCTGAATAGTATAGCGCCGTTGATCGAGATTTAAAAATTCCAGCCACGTTGATACCCCCGAGATATCACCTTCACGCGTTAAAGATAAAAGTGAAGTGGAACATGGGGAATTACGATGTGACGAGTAGGAGACTTATACCGCGAACAGAAATACTTAGATATCCTCAACAATCTCAGTGAAAGACACATGTTTTACTCGTCTCGGATTCTCCTTCCCAGCTTAATCCTATATTACACTGACTCAGTAGTCAAGTGGTCATATTCGGCAACCGCGACATCATCTGAAGCAACAGTGACGCTAAGCGTTGGTCGAGATGTCGTCGGGGAGCTCCTGCCCCCGCACACACACACACACACACACACACACACACACACACACACACAACAACTCTAACTACATATCCCCTGAAATCACTGACCACAGCCCCATCTCTTACCAGCTTACACAACATGGCTCAAGCTGGTTCTAATCCGCTACGGCACTCCGATCTCTATAACAGAGTGCAGGACTGGATAACTAAATCAGATGCCGCGCACAATAGCCACGAACCACGATATACAAGCTGCTTACGCCACCGTAGGTCCCATTCATCGTTTCCAGTATCTGAAGTCTTCAGTGCATCTCTAACAATTTGCATTGCAGCTCCTTCCTTTTACCTACAACCAGTGTCTTATGCCTTCGACAAAGATCGATACGAAGAAATAAAAAAAATGAACGCGGAACCTGAGAACATGCCAGCCAGTTTCGCTGAACGGCAGCCAGGTTGGCTTGGCTGGGAGAATTATTACGCTGAAAGGGGAGGTGTCACTGTATGTTACCCCTCTGTGCAAAAACTACAGCAGGCTCGTGTGAGTCACATGGCTTCACTCGAGCCAACAGGATCCCAACAGCCAGTTGCATCGTCAACAGCAAATGATCCGGCAACGTCTTCAAACTCCGAAGAAAGGGGACGTCACCGATATGAGCGGCAGCCTCGACACAGAACTAAGAATGATCGATACGAGTACAAGGTTCAGGATAAGAGCAGCGAACGCCCCCGTTCGAAGAAGAGGACATTCAACGACACCTTTCATGCTCCCAACGTGCCCTGTGATCGTCTGACTGTGAGTGACATGCTGCTGGGCCTTGTATGAGATCGCTAACACCGTAACAGCTGAGCCAAAGGCGTACAAGCGGGATTTTCAAAAGAGGGAAGGCATCATCTCCTATCAGAACCCGCCCCCGCGATCCCTCGCTAGGGTTCTTTGGAGTCGATACGATCGTGAACACAGATATCATGAGAGCCAGCGCTGGCTCTGGTTTCTCTGAAAGCGACTTTCTTACAAAAAGAAGTACCAATAACGCTACCCAGATTGGCTCGTTCTATGGACATCTCGAGGAGAACTGTCATTCAATCTCATCAGGGACCATCTCGGACACTGCCTCTACAGTCGCCCTCTACTGCTCACGAGAATTGGCCAAAGCAGACCACATTGTCACCGAGTCCATGGACTTGGATGCCACTTCAGAACCTGCTACAGATAGTTACGTGCCTGCTTGGGGTAACTCGTCAAGTAGAAATACTGAGGTGCATCTCGAAGAGCATCCATACCCCCACTTGAATATTCAATATATCTCTGATGACACAAGCATAGGTGAGGGCCAATACTGCTCCACTAGGCTTCAAGATGGTGTCTCACAGAAGTGCAAGCATCCATCTGACGTCATGAGGTCAAATGAGGTCGCAGAAAAGCCTTCTGATGAAGACAAAGCGGGTGGCCAAAATAGTGAGGAACGAGGAACAGACGAGGTTATTGCTGCAGCTCGTGTGCACGATAATACAATCACCCAGTCTGCCTTGTCCAATGCCAGCAAGTGTCGGCAGCCAACCTTGGAGCCTCGCAGCAGAACCGTAGCTGATACTGAAGAATTTGACTATGAAGGAGTAATGGGTGCCAAGCTCCGAGGAACAATCACACCAAGCTACAATCAACTCCATTGGTCCCCATATCATGGCGGCAGTAGAAAGATGTCCTTGATGTCCGAAGTCGGCATTTGTGGCGAGACCTCGCAGGGTCATCAAAGTCAAATTAGACAGACCATCGAGGAGCCAGATTATGAGAGCGTGGACTTCACAGCTGTTCCTGAAGCCAATGACTGCTGCTCAGAGGTGGCCAGTTTGATTGACCTGGAGGAGTGGGAGACAGCATCTATCATTGTTGATATGGATACAGAGCTTGACACCCAGGTCTTGAGTATGCCGACCTCGAGCGCAGCCAATTGCAATAACACACAAGAAATTCGGAAACGACTGGAGGCCACACAGCTTTGCGCAAGTATTCAGGGAGAAAAGCCGCACCGTTTGTGGGAGGCAAGGCTTGAGAAACCTTCCACTGCTTTTTGTTCTACCGACAGCATGCGGGACACCCCTTCAGCTGTCAAAGAAAGCCAGATGAGGGGCGCAAGTCAGCTGTCAGTTCATGATGAATCAATAGAATCGGAAGCCAGGACCACTTTCCGTCCGGGACCCTGGCTGGAGTCGCTGTCACGACGAAGGGGTGGAGCCATTGGGATAGGAAATGGCCGCTTGGACCCCACTGATGGGCTTGGGACATTTTGGCAGCAAAGAATGGGTTACTGATAGATGGCTGTTGGGGGCCGTTATTGCTCACTTGCTTTATTGGGCGATTTTGCTTTATTATTGCTGAATACTCGACACGAGGATATTTTTCATGTATACTAAATGTTGCAGATCCTCCAGGATACACAATATACCCCTTTGCTGTTGCTCATTCAGAATGCCGAGACTTGGCCGGCCCCGGTAGCACAGATGGGTGCCAGATCGATTGATCATGCAATAATTGAGAGACGACAATTAACCCGGCTGGCCTCGTAGGCAGGCGCAGCAGCCCTTACGACGCATGAATGAATTGCGATCGACAACGTAGCGGTCGACATTTGCTTTTTCGGCCGCAGTAGCGTGGGATAGTAGTCGTACACAATCAAGAAACTCAATAATGGGGCTTCCCTTGTGACAGTTGAGTAGTGAGTAGTCCCGACAGTATGGTTGCTTTGTTTGAACCCCTGACTTGTATCACCTCGTGTCTATCATCGTCAACTTAGGGATCCCCGACACACTGGTTCTGTTATACCTGACATGCAGGGATGGAGCAGTTAGCGTATATTAGACCAGTCAATAAAAGCCTCTGGAATAGGCAACGAAAACAACGTAGGCAGAAAGCGAGCATTACTACGGAGTACTACTGGTGACTGGGATGAGGATCCTGCCGTGTGTTGTCTTGCCCTACTGTACTTAATACCCCCTACTACTACTAATACTATTTAGGCCTATTAAGCAGGGTATACTATATGCAATGTAACGTCGTTAGATGGAGAAATTGGATTGATCTATCCATCCATCACGCTACGGAACCAGTCCCCCGGGTCCGCCCTTTTTTTCTTTCTTTTGTTTCCTATGAAAGACGGTATAGATGGTAAGTACCTACCTACTAACTATAGGAGTAAGAGTTATATATGTATGAGGTTCTGGATTTGGTATGGATTGGCTCTAACTATGGCTGTTACTTACTAGTGGGTTCTAGTTTAGCTGTCATTGATACCTGACGGGGTTTGATGAGGGTGGTTAGTTAGTTAGTCTCGGGGACTGGGCATCAAGGCGTTGATAGATTGATTGATTGAGTGATTGGGTTTCGGGGTGATCATGATCATGATGATGCTGGCGATCTGCTCTTGGGTAGGCGTGTGCTTGTTAGCCTTTCCACTTCGTCAAGTGTTCTGCTTACCATTAGACCACCTCTACTCGTTGAAACGAGATTAGAAGTAGTAGATCACTGTAGATGATGATGATAACACGAGAGAAAGGCAATCGACGCGAACTTCGATCGATCTAATTCCCTATCAATGACACAGACCAGCCCAGGCAAGTCGCGCCAAAGTGTGCACAGCCCACGAGAGAGAGATGGAGATCAGACCACGCCCAGCGTACGAAAGGTAGTATCTAGTACATGCATTAGCCCAACCCCAAGTAGAAACATCGGCGCTGACGATCCCGGACCCGACGATCTGGCACTGGCGCATGGGAAAAAAAAAAGCAATGTAACAACGTCCCTCTCCATCATCCCCTGATTAACCAGGCTAGCTGCGGGAAACCGTTAGTTTTTTGTGTAAAGCCCGAGGGAATGGATTACCTTTCAAGACATACATGCATGTGGCAGATAGTTAGTTAGATGGTGCGGTTGCTGATAAGGGTGTAGTACTTCATGATGTGTGGTTGCACATACAATATCCCCCTTTCCCATATTTCCTCTATCTATCATGTTCTTCTGCGCTAGTGCCCATCACCGTTAGTTTTCTATTTCCGGCTGAGTGTGGTACTGCTGGTGGTGGTGATGAAGCTGTGGTGTGTTTCTTTTCTTTTCTTTTTTTCATATGTTTGGTTGCAGATCAGGGTTTGGATTGCGTGGCGTGCGTGGATGGGCAGGGCACATAGACAGGCGAGATGGGCTGTGTTTTTTGAAAGGTATGTGATACTTCTACAATTAGTTACTGTGAGGGGTAATCTTTTTCAGTTGCATTAGCGCAGAAGATGTTTGAGCGTTGCCTTTGCCTTACCTTTACCTTGCAGTAGGCTGATCCGGGCTGTTGGGTCCTTTTTTTGTGTGTGTGTCTGGTTTGGTCTGTGGGGGTCTAGATGAGAGGAAGAGGGGAGGTGACGAATGTGCGTGAGTGAGTGAATGGTGGGAGGTTCTGCGCTAGAAGGGGAGGGGGGGTGTACAACTACTAGTATATAAGATGTGTTTGCTAACCGCTTGTATGGGCATTGAGTGTTTTGTAACTGTGTTAGTTTTCTCTATATATCTACTGCTGCACTTCAAATCACAGACTCGTCTGCACATTCTATCATAAAGCCTTATCGAGCAATCAGCCATCATCATGTCTTCCAACAGATTGACTGAGCACAACCTCTTCATCCACGATCAAACCATCATCAATCATGTCCGTCTATGATCCTTCACCACCATTATATAACGTCTCTAACAAGGATCCAGGACTCCAAACAAACCCAAGACAATACCCAAAAGCAGAACCAGATACCATCCTGGCTCACAACACTCATATCCTCTGAACGAATGCACAAACTCAACGCTCAGTTGGCTCTCAACATCTCCAGCAATAACACTGCCAATCCCACAAGAAACACAGACACCGACATCGACGCAGACATCCAACACATCACCAACGTTCTCTCATCACTTCCACCCCACGACCCTCTCTTCTCCCGCTTCAAGCTACTGGAAGATATACTTTCGACACAAACACACAACCGCCAGGAGAACGATGACTCAAACCCCATTCCCCTAGAACGCTTCCTCACGCCCGGACATAGTGATCCGTACTACATTGTGGAGAGGGCGCTAGAGGAGCTGGGTATCCCGTTTGGGAGTGTGGAGAGTGGTGAGGTCAGAAGAAACATGGCGAGGGAGAATGTTGATGCTGCGAGGGAGGCTGCAATGGGGATGGGGGCGAATAGTGTGTGTGAGGGGAGGGTGGGTAGGACTATCTAGTCAGTTCTTCGGTCATGACTGGGTCAGGTGAACTGGTTTCGTTTCGTTTCGTTTGTTATGTGGTTAGGGGATATGGCTTGCGCGGGCGAGTTAGGGTTTGTTATTCTGGGTAGATGGGATTCTTTGCATGCGTACATGTACTCTGGGAGTATATAAATGATTGAATGAGATATACTTTGCTTTGCTGCGTGATATATTTGAATGGTAGTAGTATTACCAGATGTCAATGTATCTGTGATAGTATTCGGGATTGGGTATATTATACTAAGGAAACTCAGATCATGCATGTAGTATGCATGTATGCTATGCCATCACCACCACCACCACCACCATTCATCAATCAATCAATAGTCCCTACCATAACCACTCCCCCACATAAAGAAAGTATAGAAAAGAGCAGAACATATATGTAGATAACACCAAAACCAACAAGAAATTCAACAAATCTACCCCCACTTTCATAGAACACGAACCCATACTCCTCTTCCCCAGCAGAGAGGAAAGAAAAAAAGAAGTGAAGAAAGATGCTTATATCGGGGCCATTGCCTCCACAGCTCCCGTCCCCTTGAACACACCAGGTTTGGTAACCACGACTTCAACCGGGTACTTCCATTCCATGAATCTGGTCCAGCCTGTGCAATTATCCATTAGCATATGGTTTTCACATATTCCCTCACTCCACAACCAAGAGGGAGGTGTATACGAACTCCAATAAGCACACTTCCTACCCAAGTACTTCCCCACAAAAGGCACCAGCACCATCGTCAACAACAACTCTAATTGCTCGATGCTTTCGCGCCATTCTTCTTCGGCGTCCGAGTAGTCCGAGTCGAGGGAGTCGAGGTCCGATGCGGAGGTAGATTCGGAAGGCAGGGAAGCGACATCGTCATCTGAGGCGGAGGAGTAGTGTTTGTCTTGGGAGGAGACCATGAAGGCGGAGGTGCTGAGGGAAGCGGAGGGGGAGGGGGAGGCCATCTTTCTTGGTTCTGGTTGGATTCGATGGTATACTTGAAGATTGTGATGTATGCTAAAGAAGGAGAAGAGAGTAATCGAGCAGGGCCTGCCACTGCCTGACGAATGTTATGGCATAAATAATATAATCAATCAACGAGGATGAAGCTATACACACACAGACACTAGCTAGTTCGGTGAACCTAGTTATGGTCTGATGTAATCCAGGGGAGAGACACCGACAGACAGAGATCTCACGTGCCAGGATCACAATACCGGACGGTAATGGCAATACAAACTTGACTCATTATAGTCACGTGCCAGGAGCCCGCGATAACAGCGATTCTTCGCCATCGAGTCAGCGCAACAACCAAACTTCGAGATTCAACCAGCTCAAACCACAATCCCTAGAGCAATTTCCGTCATCTCTCGCGGATCCAACAAGCAATCTACCGGAATATATTGTCCTGGTGGGAAGTTGAGAAACGCTCATTCTCTCCGATAATCAAAAAACGGCCAGCCCAAATATGGCGGAGACTGTACGTCACACCCCCGTTTTCCCTTTACCGATCGGTTTCCCTCCCACATTTTCTTCATCACATTTCGCCGTGGGACCATCTCGACTCCCTCCGCTTTTGCTTTCTTGAAGCACCACCTCAACCCCCGTGTTTTTTTTCCCTCTATATACCCATTACCTGTTGTGCAACGCTCGGACGCGATTTCTGCGGATCGAGCTTCACACTGGTTGACCTTTCTTTAGTGTGTTCCAGCGCTTCTTTTTTGGGTTTTCTATTTCGCCCCTCCCGCTAACGTGTGTTTGGGCTGGTCCGGATTAGCAGGTTGAACCCGCTCCCCAAAAACAACGCAAGTCCGTCGCATTCAGTGAAGGCGCTGTCATTATGGATACCAACGGCGAAGTGACGGAGGCTGCTCCGGTTGTTGAGAAGCCGGTCGCTGAGACTGAGGGTATATCTTCCCTTATCCTTACGTGGTTATCAAATTTGATATTGACCTCTACATTTTAACCCACAGACAAGGCCGTCGACGAAGTTACCGAACTCTTCAAGGGTCTTTCGAAAAAGAAGAAGAGCAAGAAGCCCAAGGACACCGAGGGCGGTGATGACGAGACCCCCGCCGCCGACGGCGAGTTCGACCCCTCCGCTCTGAAGAAGAAGAAGAAGAAGCCGAAGAAGGTCGACGCAGGTGATTTCGAGGCCAAGCTCGCCGAGGCCGGTGTTGCAGAGAAGGACGGTGCCGTCGCCGAGGAGAAGGAAGAGGTCGTCCCCGAGGGTGACCACGAAGCTGGAACCGGTATCTGGGCTCACGACGCCGCGCAACCCATCCCCTACTCGCTGCTTGTGTCCCGATTCTTCTCCCTCATTCAGAGCCACCACCCCGATCTGTTGTCCAGCGGTACCAAGTCGTATAAGATCCCGCCGCCCCAGTGTCTGCGTGAAGGTAACCGTCGTACGATTTTCGCCAACATTGCCGATATCTGCAAGCGCATGAAGCGGTCCGACGATCACGTTATGCAGTTCTTGTTCGCCGAATTGGGTACCAGTGGTAGTGTCGACGGTAGCCGTCGTCTGGTTATCAAGGGTCGTTTCCAGCAGAAGCAGATTGAGAACGTCTTGAGAAGATACATCGGTATGTTCAACAGCCTGGTGCTATATGGTCATTATAGGCATATTGATACTAACATTGTACAGTCGAATACGTCACCTGCAAGACCTGCCGCAGTCCCGACACCGAGCTCAACAAGGGTGAGAACCGTCTATACTTCGTCACCTGCAACTCTTGCGGTTCTCGTCGTTCCGTCGCCGCCATCAAGACTGGTTTCCGTGGACAGGTCGGCCGCAGAAAGAGACAGGGTTAAATGGGTTAATGGAATTCTTGTCAAAGGGGGAGAAGAATCCATGGAGGAAGCTACTACCATGGTGTCTTCGGTGGTATCTTCTGGCGCGGTTATGATTTGTTTCCCCCGCCTTTTTCGTATACAAAGACTTCTTCTTTCTTTTTTTCCTTATCCTTTTTGCATTCCATCTCTTATGTGAACATGTGGATGATGAACGTTGTGGGATCAATCGATCCATTCTTGGCTTTCGATGGTTCGGTTTCAGGGTGCAAGGGATTTAAAAAAAGGGAAGAGGCGAGAGAGACGAAGTGAAGATTTCTTAGCATGGCATGATAGGTAAATGGATTGGTATGACCTTACTCCGATTTCACGTATGCTGGCGACATGGCAGATGAAGCAGAAATTGTGCTGGATTTTGCTTCCGCCTTGAAAAAGCGGTCGAGCCTGCCAGAGTCATGAAAAGCTACCCAAAAGAAGTGACAAAAGATATCCAATTTTGTGACTATGCAAAATGATGACTTCGTAGAAAGCACATGAGTAGATACAAGTACGTGTCAGGTATATAGCAGGGTAATTATATAAAGCCAAACAAGCAAAAACCACGTAGACACTATAACCAAGAAAGAAAAGAACCATGACCAGATAGCCCAATAGATCACAAGCCAGCATCATCGGTTCTTAGAGATATCACCACCCAAATGGGCAACGAACGAAGACACATTACGCGTCTGCATATACACAGTACCAGGGCCAGTGAACCTACACGCCAGACCTTCACCAGCACTCCAATTGGAGATGATACCACCGGAAGCAACACGTTCAATCTTGTAGCGGCAGTTCCAAGCCACCAGATGGCCATTATTCACGTAGTACGTTTCATCATCGGCAAGCTAGAGGCCTCGTTAGATCGATTCCATCCGTCAAGTGTGTCCATTGGGGGCAATGTGCTAAGATGGTAATGCACGGAGTAGAATGATATGCATACCTCCTTCTTGACAATAGCTCCGAAACTCTGCATCCATACTAGACCAGCGCCGTAGAATCTCCAGACAAAGAAGCCTTCGCCAGAGAACACACCTTTCATGAGGCCTTGGGTCTTGTATTCGGTTTTGACGCCGGTTGTGGAGGCAAGGAAAGCATCTCTTCCGACGATCCACTCGTTTGAACCGTCTAACCGGATGATGGTGATATCGCCCATAATGGATGGGGCGATTAGCAGTTCACCTGGGCCAGTGTATGTCGATCGGGCTATGTTGCCACCTGCAAGAGCTTTCATCCAGCCGAATGAAAGTGAGCCTCGTAGGGACATGGAGGGTGACATTGCGATCATGACGCCTGGAGCACGAGGAAAAGGTTAGCCGCGAGTATTAATATGGTAGTGGAGAAAAGATTGACACACCAGGTCTCGCCTGTATGGGACACCCTACTGCTAGCTGAATAGTCAAGAGAGTGTTTGTGTCCCGGTGGCTGATCCTGTAGCTGCCACCATTGAAAGTTCCTACATCGTCCGCATATGTAGACGTGGCTCCTACGAAGTGTTTCGGAGCGACTCGGCTCGCGAGAGTCGCATCTGTATGCGCTCGTGTGAGGCCTGGCCCTGGTGTTGGTGCTTGCTGGGCTTCTGGAGAACTAAACATGGCTGAGTTGGCAGCAAAGGACCCGCCATTTTCAGCTGCATAGGCGGCCTTCTCATTTAACGGTGGAGTCGTCGACCCATTTGGAGATGATATGGGAGAAACATCGGCCTTGTCATTATCCGAAGTTACAGGCTGCTGTGGAGGCGGCGGAAAACTGAGGTTCGGAGGAGGAAAGCTCTGGGGTGGTGGCTGGTATGCTATACAATTTATTAGCTGGATGTTGTAAATTGACTGTCCGCAGTGCCTACCTGCACCATTCGGGGGAGCTACGAAAATGTTGATTAGAATTCAGCGATGATGAAGTATCAAAGGGTAAACTCACGAGGAAAAGAAGGCGCCTGGCTTGGAGGAGGCGGATACACAACCTGCTCAGACATATTGTGCTCGATTGGACCCTGTAGATGCTTGAACTGATCGTCAGTATCAATGCAGAATTGTCTGTGGCACTTTGCAAGATTGTAGAACCGCGCGGACAATCTCCAGGACGCAGGGTCAGGAAACCTACACCTAGGTTTTCTGTTGCCGCAACTCTTAGGTACAATTCCCAGCGAGTGGGGTAGGTATAGTTCAAACGAGATGTGGAATATAATTATACAACTCCTTTTCCCTGGCGCAAAGGACTAAAAAGCGATGAAGACGACCACGGGTCGATTAGCACAATGATTGACGATGAAACGAAAACCAAGGCATTCGAACGAATTGAAGGAACCGAGAGCAGCGACATCCTGATTAAATTGTCCGGTTGAACAGGGAAATAGGAAATGAGGAGATGAACCGGGATGAGCTCTGGTCGCAAACTAAGCAGAGCTACTGCATGGTGATCGCCGTCGGCGCTTAGAGAAGGCCTCTGATAGCTCTAGGGCATCACACCCAAGAGAAGCACCCGGCTCTAGCGAACGTCATTGGTCAACTCCTTAGCGCTCCGGGAAGCAGTTCAACCCCAATCCTAAAAGCCCAGAGGCAGACGTTCGTAGCTGGAGGCTGTGGTGTGGGCCGCGTCAGAGCGAAGAGGGGAAGAGAATTGGGAGCGGGGAGAAGATTGGTGCTTGGCCTTCACGATAGTTATGCGCCCCCTTTCAGTCCATTGTAATTCCAGATGTTTTGCAAGGAGCCGTTTGAAAGTGTACACTAAATGTTCCAATAATTTTACCAAATTGGTTCGTACCGAAGATGCTTCATACAGTCTCTGCTCTCTCCTGCGCTGCTGCCTCCAACAGAGCAAGTAGATCCAAGCGGTTGCTTTGACGTACTACGTCAAATACTGTCATACCATCTTTGTCCGTCTGATAAATGTCACCCTTGTTGGCGAGCAATAGGCGGAAGATGTCTTCAGACGCATGGTAGTGCACTGCCAATATCAATGGGGTGTAGCCCCAATCGTCCGCAGTGTTAACATTCGCCCCGTGTTCCAGGAGTAGTCGGACCATGTCTCTGAGATTGTCAATTACCGCATAGGCCAAGATTGTTCTACTGTCCCCTGCGACGCTCTCAATGTCTGCACCTCTCTCAAGAAGTAACCGGGAGGTCTCCAACTGATTCTGTCGAACTGCCAGATGCAAGGCGCTAAGTTGTTGTCCGTAACCACAGTCGATTTTTGCGCCGTATTCAAGGAGCAATAAAGTAAGGTCCTGCTGCCCCTGACTGGCCGATATGCCTAGTGGCGTTAGGCCGTTGGCTTTCATGCCCAGATTTGCATCTGCTCCGTTGGCGAGTAACTTCTTTGCCGCGTCTACTTCCTGATTGCCGACAGTTTCAAGGAGTGCAGTATATCCTTCATATTCCTGGTTGTTGATCTCAGCTCCGTGCCGCATGAGTGCTTGTATTGCTAAATCCGAACCACATCTTGCCGCAAACACAAAGGCCTTCTGAGTCATCGCTCCATAAAGTTGACCGACCTCAGTCCATTTGTGCAAAATCCAATGCCAGAGTGCATCCTGCTCATTTTGCAACGCCCATTCAAGGCAACTCTGGTCTTCCTCACCAGGGACTTGCCTTTCAAAAACAATGTCCATGCCGTGCGTCAGCCAGCCTAGAATAGTTTCTTCCGCACACTTTCGTTTCTCTTGGTCATCGTGGGAGACCACTCCTTGTAGGTCTAAGTTCTCATAATTTCCTAGAGATTCCAGTCGCATCTTTATCGGGTGTCGGTCGGCCTTATTGTTCGCAATGTGCCAAACGATCCAACCAAGTTGTCGAGAGAACTTGATCCACCGGGCCTCCTGGTGCTGGGACTTCATCCAGTCCGTCGGCCGGAAGTTCCTTATGCCGTTTGATAATGTCCATCTGGGATCGTCCTGGAGCAGGGTAATTACTATGTCCAGGCCTTCTCTCCGTACAGTGTCCTCGTTGTGTGTAATCGCACGCTGGCAGAGGTAGCCAAGCTCATAAACGGAGCGTTCGAACTCCTCCCCATAGGAACGTTCACAGAGCCAGCGAGCAATAGAGAAAGCTTCCACCCAATTATCGTTAGAAATGTGTCTTTCAATCAGCGCTCTCACGCGGTGCGAGTCTGCAGCAAGCTCTGGTAGAAGTTTCCGAGCTTTCAGGACCGGAACGATGCATAGCAGGGCATCTTCTCTTGAACCAAGCTCTCCGGACTCGAAGCAGGCGACTAACTCGTCGAGACGACTGCTGTATGAGATATAGCTGTTTTGTGAGCCTGGGCGCACATCCACATCGCCACAAATTGTTTCGAAGCCTTGGAGAACGCTTCTGAGGAAATGGATATAAATGTCCTGAGCAGCCATGGTCTCTAGATTATTCTGTGTTTTCACAACGAGAATTTCCTTGCTTCCAGGGTTCTTGTCTGAATAGAGTCCAAAGAGTTCACTACCAAATGACACGGTCTTGGACGAAACCATCCTGGCTTCCGTATGGCGGTAAATCCACTTATGAAAATAAAGGTCGGTTTCTTCTGCCATAGCCTCAGACTTGGTCAATCCAACTGCACGATCAAGCCCAGTTTGAAGCCATTTCGAATTCGACTTCAGCAGCGACCATGTCCATAGTCCTAGAATGGCCTCGAGCTCGGTCTCATCAATTTTCCAGAGCAAGGTATCTTCGGATCTATATAGTTTGATGGTGTAGGTTTCCAGCGCAGGATTGAAACCGCCTTTGTTGAGAGACTGACAAGTGAGCATGAGGTCGAAGCTAACGGTATCTTCAGTCAGGTTCTTCCAGCCTGATAACAAGTTCATTGTTCTTTCTATCGTGTCCGCCAGTTTTTGAGCTCTCTCCCTGATTGGAAGGCCATCCCAAGCTAAGCTGGACTCTTTATCGGGGTTAGAAGTAAGACGGGCTAGTTGAGCCCTTGTCGTTATAAGCTTCGTTCCTAGACCGGGTGTCTGACTCGGAGTTTGTGTTGATGCAGCTGCTGACGAGGTTGTCGACTGAGCTCGAGATCTCTGTGGCGGGCTCGAGACTAAACCAAACGACCTGACTTGTTCAAGATGGAACGCAAAGCAGTCAAGTTCTTGCTCATTATAAGACACAAGATGGCGCTCTTCAGTTGTCAAGCGGTTCTCGTCTGATCCGGACCTCTTAGTCCGAAGGCAGGCTCTGACGATGGACATTAGGAGAGTAGCGCCCATTTCTGCCAGTACCACAGAGGCATGCAGCCCTCGAATACCGACAAATTGGATGACAAACCCAATAAGCGTAATAATCACAGTAAACACGAGCATTGGCCCTTTGCCGAAAATTCCAGGGCTTCTGACTGATTTTATATACACTAGGTCTTCAGTCGCCTTGGAATTAGGTCCCTCGCTAACTCCGAGAAAAGCTCCGAAGACTTGGTCACCGACATCCTGGCCACCGGGCTGCAACCAGTAGATCTTGCTGGGCATTGCAGGTCGAATGTAGCATTCGGTGGATGAGCGCTCGATGATGAAGGCGCACAGGAACATTCCGATGCAGAGAAAGATAGACCCAAGGGAAAACAGCGGGAAAGCATAGCTTACGACAAGACTTCCGTCTTTTTTGAATTGTACCGGATAGAGGTAGACAGTTATTGCAGCGTATACAATGACCCCTGACATAATCTGTCAATATAGGCCACTGGCAATACCAAAGACATGTCACGTCAACTCACCAACTTGTAGGCCTAGCCCCAAAACAGCAGCAGCATAGAACCAGCCTTGGCTGCTCTTCTCAATTCCCTTGTTCAGGGACAGATTCGGGATGTCGAGCTCGGGCAAGTATTCCTTCTCATCGAGAATCCAACTTCCTTTGCCCGCCAACCAAGCACCCTCACGGAGGGCATCGCGGAGAGTTCCTATCCGGTAGGAGCGCTCCTTTGTCTGAGGATCTGTCTCCTCCCAGGCAATGACCTCTAGTAGTCGAGGTCTTCCGAATACCCTAGAGATTCCTCCATTGTTGAACATCTCTGCGGTTGTCTCGGACACGCATGACAAGAGTTCATTTTCAGCTTCACCAGGGCCCTCCTGAGCCCGCCCTATGAACGCGCGGAGAGACGAGTTTCCGCAAACACGAATTACGGAAACCACAGCCGTCAGAATACCCAATGGGGCCACAGAGAAGAGAAAGTTATCTAAGATGCTGGTGGATTCAGATAAGAACTGCTTGCTCAGTCGCTCACCAAAAAGGGATATGAGAGGCGCCTAGAATTTCAATGTCACTAAACTTGCCCCAAAATATGTGTGTGAAAGGCAACATACCAAGTCTGTAGCAAGGTCATCTGCAAAGTCATCCCAGCCGGTGGCCAAAGCACCGGGAAGTAATGATAGTATAATAATAAGCGATAAATGCCACACCATGGTGAGGCACGCGGTAAGACAGACAGTCTGACAGAAAGGTTTGGGATTTTCCCCTAAAACATCGGCGGAGAATAGGATATAGCTGAATCAAATACATCTGCTATATTTACCAACATCCCACCCTCCGGGATAGCTGCAGCTCAGCCTTGTCGCCTGTTCACAGCCCCGCGCGGACTCGATCGAAACACCAGCTCATCTTGCATGCCGGCGGTTCGAGCTGTCTTTGAATCGCTGTCCAACAAATCACAGTTGAAGATTGATTATAATACTAAATGGCTAAACGCCCTTATCATGCATAAGGATTGTAGGCCGTCTATGAGTGGACACATCGTTATGGCGTACCATAATCGTCGGCGCTAACAAGAGTCGATCGTCGTTTCTCATGCCGGGGCGAGGGGAGATTGACTCGCCCTTAGAGGCTTAGCCGTGTAAGACACAGTAAAAGTGAGCGAAGCTTAAGCGCCGACAGTCTAGATATCGTAACAATGATCGTACAGAAAGCGGGAATGAGTCGAGGTCTAGAGTGAAACCCTTCACGGCAAAGACTACAGGAGCGGTAAAACCGCAATTAAGGACAGATACGTAATGAGCAACCTCTATCCGTAGTTGGAAAGACACATCCCAGTTACTTCTATGACTAGAATAATTTCACCATTAACCCAAGTAGTCTGCGACGCGCTATCCCAACTAACCCGAACTCGTCGGTTTTGCCGAATAATAATGAAATCAACCACCAACGCCTTTCCCATGAGCAAATGAGGGTGTACGAAAGAAACATCAAAGGGCGCCTCTCCGGCCTGCACTTGAATAAGAACTAAAAAGCGAATGAATTTTCGACTAGCCACGCATCTAAAAGATGCTGTTGACAATGTTCGAACCGACGGTAGCACCGGCACCGAAGATAGCTAGGTGTGATTGTCAGTAAGAATGATTGTAGATAAGGAGATGTCCGCGGCGCATCAATTCGATATGTCACAGTGCGCGCGCATTGCTTGAAACGTACCGGCATTGCCCATCTTCTTGCCAAATTTCTTGCCCTGCTCCTCAAACTTGGACTTCTTGCCCTCTTCACCCGGAGGCGCCGAGCCACTCTGGCTGACTTCCAGCGGCATGTTTCCATAGTTGGTCGGGGGAGGAGACGAAACGGCCTTGTCATTCAGCACGTTCACGTAGCTCCGAGGGAAGATACCCTCAAGGTTGGTGCGCTCATTACGACCACGCCACCCTATAACCAGCGGTTAGCAAGGGAGGTTGCACACAAAGGGTATCGGCAGCCCTACAGTCGGCATTCATGTGTTCCAAGACTTGAATACGATCGTTTGGCTGGAGAGCCAAGTCTCCGGGATCCGTCGGAGTGTAGGCATAGAGCGCCGAAGCGATAGACAGTACCGGTGGAGCTTGGGGATAAGCAGGTGGCGGAACAGGCGGGGTTGAGTATTGTTGCGGAGGAGGCTGCTGATAAGTGGCCTTCTCGTTCAAGCTAGTGTTTGCAAACTGGTTCGTAGGAGGAGAATACGGGGCAGGGGGCTGCTGGGCGACGACAGGTGGTTGTTGCACTGGTGGCTGCTGCTGAGGCACGGGGGCTCTGCTGCGTTCATCGTCCCTCGGTAGTTGCGATAGAATGGATGAGAGCTGTTGCGGAGTAATGACTGATGCATCTGCGAGAAACTCAAGTTCCTAGTGGATCGAAGGATGTCAGCAAAGTGCATCATTGAAGATCCGCTCGAGCAACTCCGTTTACTGAGTGATGCTGACAGGGGAGGGCATCCTACCGATCGGACGTTGCGGAGCGACCGGTTGGTCATAGCCGAGAAGAAGTCGGACTGGGACGCCATGCTCATGAGGTGGATAGAAAGTAAAAGCACACAACAAGAAGGTATCAAACTTTGCAGATATGCAGATCAAACGAAGACAGTGAAAGACAGGGTTGAAAGAATGAGACAGAAGAGACGGATGGGATGGAGGGAGTGGACGGAGGCAATCGATAATGAATGAATAATAATGTAACGGCATGGCAGGCCCGCCAGTTGGTTCTCCTACTTGCTAGTCAGTTGGTACCTGAGGCCCCCAGTCCCGGGGGTGGGTTGCCTGCCGCTAATTGGCTCCGAGAATTTAGTCGGTCTTGTCATTTCAGGCATCACCATATCACAGGCGTCCTTTTGAGACATTGGTCCCTGGATGGGTTTCGGTTGAAGAATCCACATTGTCTTGTTTTCCAGAGTGTGATCGGAGTTTATACTAACACTGCATGTCTGGTGTATCTAACAGCAAGCAGAGAATTCGACCCTTACGAATCATTGCCACTGACATTCTCCGGCTATCCGGGACTATTATCTAGGAATGAACAAGACACCTGTCGCTAACTACAGCACTTTGAGGCCCTACTCCTCATAAAGGGTAGCTCATTTAAGTGGGACTCGAAATCTCTAGCTTATTTTCTATTGACATAGAGTCGTACTCGTTTGTGCTTGATGTCAAGGTACCCGAACTGCATTGCTGATTTTCAGAAAGTCTCCTTACGAAACACACTATGCTCTACGAGACTGGAATGGATTGCCCAAATTATTCCGTTCTGAAATATAAGCGCATATACTCAAGTATCTACTGAACGTAGAGACCGTTCTTATGACGCCTGGGCGCCTCTGAATAACAAAGCAACTTGAACTCAACTAAATCAATGCTGGCAGCGCTGCAGCAAGCAACAGAATAATAAATGACGGAAATCGAAACAAGCAAGGCGTAATGTCCTTCAAGCAGCCTGTTCCTCTCTTTTAATCATCTCCAACGTATGAGCTGCGAAAGTATCCTGCAATCTTCGATGCCAGTTCGGGATCAAGGTCTTTGAGGCGTGAGTCTGGTCGGTAGAATCCTCGATAACGCATACAGCAACCACATTCAGCGGTACAGTGGCCATGGAATCCAATCATCTCCTTCTGATCACCCTCAGGCAAGAGATAGTGACGGAGAGGTCTCTCACAGCATCTACATCTGCGACCGCAACAGCCACCAAGCGAGGCGCACATGAGCTTGTCTTCCTCCCATGCCAAAGTTTGGCCCTCTTCATTTCTGTGTTGCTGAAGGAAGTCAAATTCATCGATGATAGGACCAGATGGCTTGTCAAGGGTCAACGCTTTCCATGCCTTCTGGCACCGGTAGTAATGCTCTTCTGCAAGGGAGACTTGACGTTTCGGATCCGAGGGCCCCGGGACATGCTGGAAGGGATTTTCTGGCTCAATACTATGTCTGTATCTGACCCTTTCCAGGCAGTTGATTCGCTGCAGGAGAGCGAACTCGAGTTCCTCGTTCTCTCTGTAGCGCTTGATCCAGTCTTTCTGGATGTTACACTTGCTGGGCCTGTGCTTCTCATATAGTCTTGCCCTATCGTAGAGACGGCGTCTGAGATTGTAGCGTTCGTCTTTGACCACCCGGAGCCAGATAGGCCTGAGTATTTCTGACATTAGATCAAAGGGTCTGTGAATAGACTCCTTCAGCATCAGCGACGCATGTGACTCGTAAGTCGGGGAGAGCTTGTGGGTTGTCATCTTGATGGCGTCCTCTGCTTTCTGTTGCTCTTCGTTGATTGTGCTTCTAAGGTTGACTCTGAAATCAATCAAATTTTTTCTGCCAGACACTGTTGTTTACGAATATTGACGTAGTAGATACGGCGTCAGGATGAGGGCATTTTGTGTGCTCGACCACGAAATCATGCTTCATTACTATACTGGCTAGGATAAATAACGATGGGGATGTTCATGTCCTCACAGACCATTTATCTCGGCAAACGTCAATAGAATTGGGATATTGATTTGAATAAATGCTATCAATCAAGAGCACTATACTGCCGTTGCAATTACCTCGCCTCACCTCAGACCTATACTCATTACTATACAAGACTCGACTCTACTTCCCGATATAGTAATCCGCCATGGAACCAGCACAAGAATCCCGGCCAAATAACATCGCCCCAAGCAAACATATTTCTAATCAGCACTAAGCACAAATCTAACAGCTCACTCCCTAATCAATAATCCCAGACAAGCGACACACTCTGACTCATCAAAAACAATTACCGAAGTAAAGCAAAGCAATGCAAGGCTCAGCCCAGAACCTCAGCCAACAATCGGGTAACGTACGGGGAAAGATTGGCCGATCCATGATGTCAGCAGCCCTAACCTAAAACAGGCTAGCGCATACCGCCCCTCTGACTCCGCCATCCCAGGGCTCGAGAAGCTTCCGTGGCGTCGATATAAATTCAGCGGGCCTTGAACATCCCTCCTTACGACACACCTCACGCGATCGCACTTGACACTCACACACCGCCACCCTCACATTCTCCACCCACACCACACCTTCAAACCAACCCAATATCACCTCTAGAACCTCCATCTTATCACCAACTTCGCATCCATCTTCAAAATGAGCGACTGGGACTCTGTTACGCGCATTGGAGCCAGACACACTGGTGGCCCTGCCACCCGCGAGACCGTCGTCAAGGGTAAGAGCGCCTTGAACGCCGCCCAGCGTCAGGGTCTCGTTATCGGTACCGAGAAGAAGTATGCTACTGGTAACTCTGTAAGTATACCACTTAACTTGCCCCTCGTTTGGGTTCAGGAAGCAATGAAAGAGGGGTAGCCAGGCTAACACAGAGATAACAGGCCGGACGCTCCGGTGCCCCCGAAGGCCAGCACCTGACCAAGGTCGACCGCAGCGACGACATCGTCAAGCCCAAGACCGTTGGCTACCAGGTGGCGGATGCGATCAAGAAGCGCCGCAACGAGGAAGGCTACAAGATGACTCAGAAGGAACTCGCCACGAAGTGCAACACAACCATCACTGTTGTTCAGGACTTCGAGCGCGGTACTGCTACTCCGGACCAGAAGGTCCTCAGTGCCATGGAGCGCGTGCTGAACGTCAAGCTGAGGGGTACGGGCATCGGACAGGAGAAGTTCCCTAAGAAGAAGTAAATTGATCGGGGGTGAGCCCGCGGCTTTTTCTTGGGGGAATGGAGAGTGAAAAATTGTTGATTGATTGAACGGTGCTTTTTTTCATCACCCTTTTTTTACTCTTTCGACGGCTTTTTCTTATGGTTTTTATTTGGTCATGCCCGGGTTTACTTACGACCTTTTTTCTTTTTTCTTTTTCGAGAGACTTTTTCGGATGTTACGTTATGAATGAGATCCCATGATTCTTTACTTTTATATCCCCCCATTCCCCGCTGTTTGTGATTCTGCTGGTCGGAAGAGCGCTGGCCTGGTATTTATTAGGAAAGGAAGTGTGATATGTGATCTTTGGAGAGATGAAAAGGGAAAGAAGATATCATACATATTGATAGAAAAGTGCAGTTTGCGGGTATTCGTGTTCCTATAGAGTATACTATTATATGGTACTCCAAACAATAGAACATCGAGTTGCAGATTAAGCAAGATTAAGCACAGATCATCAGTTGAACAAACAATAGAAAAAACCTGAAATAAGACACTATAGAGTCGCTCGAAAATGGATTTCATGTATATATAACGAGCGACAGCCAGTACTCAACTATGTGCCTTGCCTGAAACGGAGCAAGGGATGAAATAACAATTATTTGCGAAACCTGCCGAGAACAGACAAGAAGTCCCATTCTGGATCCTGGTACATTCCTATGTCCAAGCTACTAGTATATAAGGTTGGTAAAATCAGCATGTCATGTTCGATTATACTACTAGCTCTATCCTCAACTTTGAACTCAAAACCCCCTCAAACTGAACTCTATTTCAATCACATACCTCAATATGCGCATTGGATTTGTTTTCTGTGCAATCAGCACCCTTGTCATACTTCCTCTCGGCCAATGTCGGCCGCTTGATGCTAGCTGCTGCCAACTACAGGCACTTGACACCCGTCTTGAGAGCCTTCTACATTTCATGGATCAGGCTCACACTGAAGACCAAAACGTCTATCCCAATGACAGGATAGAAAAATTACATGGAGCCCGCCCCCTGATCGAATACTCGAGCGATTCAATGCACCAAATGAAAGAACAGCACTGCAGCAGAGTTGATCAAGGAGATGAGACAATTAGCCGTCGTCAGACAACCCATGAAATGCTACTTGAAACTCTTCTAGTATGTTACATGCTCCATTGATATGTGTTTTAACTAATATCACGTCCTCTAGGAGACTTTGGATGTGAGTAGTAGGCACTTGGAAGTCTTAGCTGAACTGAAATGTTTCTGTACTAACCTGACTGCGATCCGTTTACAGTATGTACTTAAGGGTGTAAGTAAACAATCAAAGCCCCTCACCGGTTCGATCATAATCTAACGATGCTTTTTTCAGGGCACCGACCCAACTCAATCTTGAAGCTGGTAGTAGGGAAGCAAGCGACGATCCAAGAATCATTACTGCTCTTTCGGTATGTTCTACTTATGTTCTATCAAGATGTATGGTGAACTGACATCATCCTATAGTACTTTGTTGGTAAACATGTCTGAGGCTTTGGCTGGATAATCAGTACTGATCTGTCATGGTTGTCTGATGGAGCATTTAATATGTACAATATTTAGTATTTAATATCCTTGTAAAGCGTTATCATGTGTTAAGCTTCTAGTTTGTATTCTTAGTAGGGCATTGTGCCCCCTAATTGTGTTTCTGTTCATTCATCCAATGTTAGTCCTTCCTAAGGTCTATCCTAAGTATCAACTGTCCCTTTCTCAAGATATTTAATCGTTGTGTCAGAGGAATGATCAGGTTAGGTTGTCAGAAATCGAGGGTCTTAGCTATGTTGTGATAGGCAGTTAGCACGTTGAGGTGTGATGGTAGTTGTTCGTCCAGATAAGCCTTTCTGCACAACATGATATCAGATTACAATACAGCATTTCCCCATATAGGATCATAGCGCATGTTAGTTGGCCTTTAGGATTCGAAAACAACTCGTAACATATATAGCTACTATATATTATAGCAAGGAATACGTTTCAGGGCGGCTCTGTACATATATATTCACGAAAACCCCGCCACTGATTACTACCGTGAACTTGAAAGAAGAAATGAAGCAATGTAGTTTCTTTTATTAGGACACAAGAAAGCGACCAGAAAAGCAAATGGTACCAACTCCGACTTTATCATGGTTAAGAAATGATAGAAAAAGAACTCATGCCCTGAATCGCCCCGAGGTCTCTTTCTCGTACCGCCGTGCTGCCTGTCCTTGCTACTTTTGGTTTCTTTTGTAGTAAGTAAAGGAGAAAAATGATATCATCTTCGCCTCATGAACACATACACACACGATGCGTGTTTATAAAAACTGGTAGGTAGGTAAGATAGGGGGAGGAAAAACAAAAAACTCTTTGCAAAACTTTCGTCACACACTTCACTTCCTCAGCTGCTCGCGCTCAACCTCGTACATGAAGTCGAAGTAGGGCTTGTCGAAGTGGTGCACACGGACGTAACCGTCCTCACCACCAGAGGCGTAGGCAGTACCGGCGGGGTGGATGTGAACAGTGTTGAGGGGACCGAAGTGACCGCGGACACGGCCAATCTCGTCCTCGAAGACCTTGTGGTAGAAACGAGCCTCGAACTTACCCTGACGGGCAGAGGTCGTGGTGACATCCATGGCGGCCTGACCACCTCCCAGGATCACGTAGTCCTTCTTGGGTGTAATGGTGGCGCTGTTCAGGGGAGTGTCGGCAACGTAGGTTTTGAGGATGGCGAGGTTACGGGTAGACATGAGCTGGGTTGAGTCAGTATTCTGCTCCAATTAAAACGTATAGTAGCAGGCTATGTACCTTGGCGGACTTGTCCTTGGAGGCAGTGATGAAGTAGGTGCGGTCGGGGGAGAACTGGATGTCGTTGATCTGGTGGTCGAACTCGTGGGCCTGGACGTTCTCCAGCTGCTCACCGGTCTGTCATCAAGTTAGCATCTAGCCCCCTCAACGCATAGCAAAAAAGGTATTCTCCGCACCTTTCCATCGTACTGGCTGACACTGCCGTCTTCGTGACCAGCAATGATGTACTTGCCCATGTAACTCCAGCCGGCAACCGTTGCCTTGCTCTCTGTGCAGGTGATGCGCAAGCTAGGCTCCTCAGCCTGTTCCGTCAAGTTCTCGCCGTAGTTGATGTCCAACACCGCAATGGTACCCAAGAAACCCATACGCTTCTCCGTCACAGCCAAGAGTCTGCTTCCATCGGGAGTGAACTCGACCCGCTTGACGGCCGTAGGGAAGTCCCACACCTTGATGCACTCGCCGGTCTTCACGTTCCATAGTCGCACGGTGTTGTCTGCCGAACCGGTTGCCAGAATCTGAGTGTTCGGGCTCACATCGACCGTCCAGATAGCACCCTGGTGTCCGTTGTAGGTACCGAGTCGCTCGCCGTTGGCCGACCACCAGGCGCACACAATTTTATCCTTAGCCACGGAGAAGATAAGATCGCCATCGCGGTTGAACTTGATTTGGTTCAGGGACCGTTCCTATTAAGCAAAATATCTATCAGTCACTCGTCCATATTTCCTATCATTTCCCCAATTTTATATCATTTTCCAAGCTCCTGGGGGGGGCGACTATCATCGCGTTCGGGGGTGGGTATAGGCGAAACGCACATGGCCGGAGAGCAAAATAGGCCGCATTTTGGGCCGATCAAGCTGTGAATCTGGGTAAGGCGACGAAGGGGAAAAAGATGCTGAATCAGAGGTATGTATCCTCTGTAACCGGAGTCGACTAAGACCTGCGAGATGAGGCGGAAATCCTTGCGGGGTGCTGGCGGGCTCACGTTGTCGGCGTCGTCAGACTAGTTTGAATTTCATCGCACAGTCCGGGCTTGCCCGCCAAGAGTTTCCTGTTCGAGCCTGTTCTGTATGAAACGCTTCATACCGGATACGTGGTTCTTCCGGTGCGATGATACGCATCATGTGATTTGACCAAGCCCTGAAGATTTCCTACCAATTGGGTTCTGGAAGACGAGATGGGCTGACCGCCAACTACGCGCTATACCCAATGCAAACATATGGCGTTCCGAAAGTCCGAAACATCTGAAAGTTGCGGCTCGCGGGAAACTTTTGTCTTGTGAAAAACAGCAGAACAATGGTAAAAGGAGGAAGCATTGAGAGTCGCAGAAAGGACAGTTTCACCCACTAGTACTATAGAATATAAACAGATCACAAAGATCAATTGGGAGCGCTGCACACACTGAAGACATTCAGTGTTGTTTGGAAGCTAATGATTTCAATTATTCAACGATATTACTCGCGTTTGCGTTGATCGACCTTTTCCCTATCTCCATCTGACCCGGCCGAGGAAAGCTGGTTGGCACTGGGCCAACCGACGAAGCAAATTAGATGCCTTTCCCCCCCGCTCGTTCGGCGACACTACCCCGCTGTGCTGTCAACGCGAAGCATTCTTATACCCTTTCCCCCAGTCACCGTTTTTACCCACTACTTTCACCCTCTGTTCGACGCCAATTTTCCTCTGCACGCGGGGTTACGTCTCGTATCCGCTTTTCGCCGTTATCTGCCAGACCTGGCGTGCTAGCTTGCGAGTGGCTTGGTTGCGCACCGTCTTGTCATCATCGTCCATTCTCCGGTACCAGGACAGCCATGACAGCCACCAACATTAATGGCACCCAGATTGCCAAGAACATCCGGGCAGGGTTGAAGGAGGAGATCCAGAAGATCCAGGAATCAAATCCCCGCTTCAAGCCTAATTTGGTGATCTACCAGGGTGCGTGTTGCTGTCACAGAAATCTACCTCGCGTCGAGAATAAACTGACAGTTTGAGTTGAACAGTGGGAAGCAGATCGGACTCGAGTAAGTCGTAGGCCTCGTGTTAGTGGGAAGGTTGTATAGACTGATTCGTGTTTCAGGCACCTATGTGCGCATGAAATTGAAAGCCGCAGAGGAGGTGCGTCACCACTCATGATCTGCATCCTTCGATCTGCTCAGTGCTGACTCGCTCCGAACAGGCCGGTATCATCTGCAAGATTATCAACTTCCCCGAAGACGTCACACAGGCCGAGGTCCTCCAGGAAATCACCAAGTCCAACAATGACACCTCAATCCACGGCATTCTCGTCCAGCTGCCCCTCCCCGAACACCTGTCCGAACACACCATCACCTCTGCTGTCGCTGATGAGAAGGATGTCGATGGATTCGGTGCGATCAACATTGGTGAGCTGGCCAAGAGGGGCGGTCGTCCTCTCTTCGTCCCCTGCACCCCGAAAGCTGTGATGAAGCTTTTGGCGGAGGCCGGCGTCGACCCCTCCGGAAAGCAAGCCGTGGTTCTTGGCCGCAGTGACATTGTCGGAAGCCCGGTCAGCTATCTGTTGAAGAATGCTCACGCCACCGTGACTCTCTGCCACTCGAAGACCCCCGATATTGCACGGATCGTCAAGACCGCCGATATCGTCGTTGCAGCAATTGGACAGACCGAATTTGTCAAGGGTGATTGGCTGAAGCCTGGCGCCGTCGTTATCGATGTTGGCATCAACTACAAGCCCGATGCGACCAAGAAGTCTGGTTCCCGACTTGTTGGTGATGTCGAATTCGAGTCTGCCGCTCAGGTCGCTTCGCAGATCACCCCGGTCCCCGGTGGTGTTGGTCCCATGACCGTGGCTATGTTGATGGAGAACGTTGTCTCCGCAGCCAAGGCGTACTTCGAAAAGCAAAGAGACAGACGCATCACTCCCCTCCCGATCAAGCTGGCCAGCCCCGTTCCCTCCGACATTGCTATCTCGCGTGCGCAATACCCTAAGCAGATTACGGACCTCGCCTCGGAAATTGGCATTGAGCCCCACGAGCTCGACCCCTACGGCCACACCAAGGCGAAGGTCAGTCTCGGTGTGCTCGACCGTCTGTCGCACCGTCGCAATGGTAGATACATCCTGGTCTGTGGTATCACCCCTACCCCTCTCGGTGAGGGCAAGTCCACAACTACGCTCGGTCTCTCGCAGGCTCTTGGTGCACACCTCGGCCGCATTGTGTTCGCCAATGTGCGCCAGCCTAGTCAGGGCCCTACGTTTGGTATCAAGGGTGGAGCTGCTGGTGGAGGATACAGTCAGGTTATTCCTATGGATGAGTTCAACATGCACTTGACTGGCGATATCCATGCTATCACCGCCGCCAACAACCTTCTCGCTGCCGCCATTGAGACTCGCATGTTCCACGAATCTACCCAGAAGGATGCTGCTCTCTACAAGCGTCTCGTCCCCGCCAAGAAGGGCGAGCGCAAGTTCCAGCCCATCATGTTCCGCAGGCTGAAGAAGCTGGGTATTACCAAGACCAACCCCGACGACCTTACCGAGGACGAGGTTCGCCGGTTTGCTCGCCTTGACATTGACCCCGAGACTATCACTTGGCGCCGCGTGCTGGATGTCAACGACCGTCACCTCCGTGGTATCACTGTGGGACAGGCTCCCACGGAGCGAGGCCACACTCGTGAGACTGGCTTCGATATCTCGGTTGCCAGTGAATGTATGGCTATCCTGGCCCTGAGCAACAGCCTGGA